GGCGGGGCGGGGCCGCCCGGCGGTACCGGCGGCGCTCGGGGGCGGCGCGGCGGCTGCACCCGCCCCCAGCGACTCCCCCCGTGCCGCCGCGGGCCGGGCACACCGAGCGGCTCCCGGGGTGCGGAGGGGCGGTGGCGTCCCGCCCTGCGCGCCAGCTCCTCGGCGCCGGCATCCTCTCGGCCGCCGCGCTGCCCCGGGGCCCGCCCCGGGGAGGGGCTTTCCCGCGGCGCCCCGGCCGCGCTGCGCTGCCGCACGTCCGCGGAGTCCCCGCTGCTCTTCCTCGCCGTGGCTGCGGCCTCGCCGGAGCCGGAGCCCCGCGGCAGGTCAGAGGTGAGCCGTGCCCCGGCCCCGGCCCGCGGGGTGACGCTGGGCCCGTCGGGGCCGCCCGGCGGGAGTGGCGCGGAGCCGCCCGCGGCCCCTGGAGCCACGGCCGCCCCCGACGGGGGTCCCGCCCGCGGGGAGGCGGGGGCGAGCCGGGGTGGGCTGAGCTGCTCGTTCATGGCTCTGTCCAAGGTCTCTTGGAATCGCTTTTCTTCCCGAGTGCTGCGCCAGCGCCAGGACGCTTTCGTTCTTTCCTATATAACTTTAATTATTTTCTGGTCAGATGTGGAGCTCCTCCTGTGGCTGCGCTTGGCTTTTTCATCATTACTTCGATGTTTAAGTGCTAGAGAGTCAGCTCCCTCATACGGGCGAGACAAAAGACTGTTTTTTCCTGTGACTGTCGAGGGAGTTCTGTCAGTGTGGCAGGTTCAGCGAATGCTGCACCTCGTTCTTTTATGCTGTCTTTGCAGAACTGTGGCCTCGCAGTAGAGAGGCCTCTGGGGCAGGAACCATCGAACTACAGGAACAGTTGGGCATTTTTTTATATTTTTTCTCCCCTGGATCTGTTCAGTTGTAGAACTTTTCACGTTTAAGGGACATCTCAGTGGAAGTAATGCAGTTTGTATTGATGCTAGCAGGATACAAAACGAGTTACAGGCAGCTTTCTGGTTTCAGACAATTTAGTGTCCTTATGGAAGGAATGAGGGGATGAGAATCTTCTTAAACATGAAGGTGTTCAGGCTTGTGGCTCCCGTGATTTGCATGTCAAATTCAGTCAGCTGTACACTTTGGAAGCCTTCATCAAAGTTTGCAAAGTTGCTGCTTTGCACACAGGGACTGAGTGCAGCTGTTCAGAGGGCTGGAGTGTGGCAGGCACGCTCAGGCTGCCCGACTGGGAGCGTGCAGCAGGGAGGGAATAGACTGCAAGAGCCTTGATCTTTCCATCTTCCCCTTGTCCTGGGATTTCAGCCTTACCTTTTGTATGCGAGTGCTGTAAAGAGCTGAGCGTTTGTACTGTAACAAACCTTCTTCAAAGTAAATGGATTTTTTTCAGGGAAAATGTGCCAAATTTGGTCCTAGAAAAAATCCATACATCAGGATCATAAATTAACATATTACCTAATTTTACAATTTGTTTTTATTTCTAATTCCATCCCAGTGCAGGTTGGAATGCTTCAAGTCCACATCCAGGTTTGCACCTTTACTGTCTTTTGAAGTTGAGATGAGAGGATGAGGATGGGAGAACAAATAGGATGCCTTAAGTACCTCATATAAAGTTAAACATCTTCAAGCAAGCCTTCCTTTCCTTAACTGTTCTTTGGGGCTTTTTTTAAAGTGAAGCTAAAAACATTATTAGGTTTCATTCCTTCTGAGTATCTGTCAAGTTTGGCATGTATGCAGGTTGAACGAAACTAAAGTCTCTATGTCAGTTCTTTTGAAAAAACACTGGCTTGATTAATTTCTGTTTAACTTTTGGAAGTTTAAGACATTTTATTCTGACAAAGTTCTGAATCTTAGCACTGGTTTCTGTGATTATTAAAAAGTACAAGTTAATGAACACAATTGAAGTTAACTTTGTATGGGCTAGAGAGGACCTGAAAGAATTACCAAATTAAAATAATAGATTACATCCAGGAAGGGAATATACTAAAATCTGAATTGTGTTTTGTATTCATAAGGTAGCACACGGGACACAGGAAGAAGCCAAATACAACTGAAGACCATGGCAACACACTGGAGAAGAATCCTGACAGTATTTGTGACAGCTCAAGTACTATTTGTGGTAAATGCCTTTGAGGAAGAGGATGTACCAGAAGAATGGATTCTTCTTCATGTTGTCCAAGGTCAGATTGGAGCAGGAAACTACAGCTATTTGAGACTAAATCATGAGGGAAAGATTGTTCTTCAGATGCGGAGTTTAAAAGGTGACGCAGACTTGTACGTGTCTGATGTGACACTTCACCCCAGCTTCGACGAGTACGAGTTACAGTCTGTAACTTGTGGCCAGGACGTTGTCCATGTGCCTGCACACTTCCGCCGCCCTGTGGGAATAGGGATTTACGGCCATCCCTCTCACCTGGAGAGCGAGTTTGAAATGAAGGTGTACTACGATCGAACAGTTGTACAGTACCCCTTTGGTGAGGCTTCTTATAACCCTGAGGAGATGGAGGCACAACAGAAATACTCACAGTCTACAGAAGATGAATCTCAGGATGAGGAGTCTGTTTTCTGGACTATACTTATTGGAATCTTGAAATTAATACTTGAAATCCTTTTTTAAATTTATAGACACTGGACTTAAGTCACACTTCATCCTGTGAAATTGGTATGAATGACTTGCTGTAATATTTAATACTCACTATGTTTCCTGAAGAGATATTCAGGTTACATTTCCTAAACTAGAAAGGAAGTGGGGAGAAAAAGCCATATTTAATTTTGTATTGTAAATCCTCCCTAATACATAAGATGAACAGCCAGCGCAGTATTTGCAGTGCTCTTCAGAGATCAGGGCTTAAAACTGAATGTATAGTTGGGATCTTCTTAAATTCACTTAAAATGGGTGCTTAGAAAAATCTATTCCAATTCAGTATTTTCTATTGTTTTTTATAAAGAAAAACAAATAAACGACTGCATTTCAGCCCCCCTCTCAATTTAGAGCACATTTAAAAATAAAACCTGCTTCTTTTCTGAGCAAGCACCTCCAGTAAAACTGATCAGCAATGTGTTTGAGTGTATTCATGAAGCTGAGGAGCTTAAGGTAAAGGAAGGAGAAAACAATCAATCACCTAAGGGAAAGATGGTCTGTATTTTGACTGTGTGTGCTCTACATCACATCAGCCACCTGTCAAACAGAGGGTGGTCCAGTCACTCATCACCACTACGAATCCATGACCTGAATGAAGTGCATGTTGCTTCTTTGCTATTACTGCAGGGAGAGGGAGCCTTCAGCTGTTGTTACTTGTCAATATGACATTTTCATCTCTCACTAAAAACAACCCAGCATATAGGTATCTCAGACTTGAGAGGTGCTTTCTTACACTTCCCTTGATGGCTTTTTGTGATTGATATATTTTTTAAGCACATATTTATGAATAAGTCATTAGCTTGCAAGGAAAATTTCTGCTGAAAGGTATTTTTTAAGAAGGTCATCTCATGCCCACTTTTCCTGTGAAGTTACTTTTACCAGGAATACTTTTTGCTTTGGTTGAGTTTCAGAATAACAGTTGCTATGCAAATAAAGTACATTGAAATTGCTCTGTAATTTTCTTTTCACAGAGCTTACTGATGAGTGTACTGAAATAAACAAGTATGTTACTATAATTTTATACAAAGGCATGTATAATTTAAATTTCGTTACTGAAAGACTTCTCTTTTTTGACTGGGAATTCAGTTTGCCTCTCTCAACACCTGACAGGACATTAGTGACTTGTATCACAAAAAAACCATTATATAGACAAAGTTTATTTAGTAAAAAGGAAAAAAAAAAGTGGTATTGCTCCTCTTTTAGAGTGGTTGATTAAATAGCACCAGAGTATGACTTTAATTTGTGCAGTTAAGTTTTGGACAGCAAGTTTTTAGGGCTTTTTTTAGCCCTCCTTGCTGTTTTTCCCCCTTCTTCCTCCTCTTCTGGGTACAGGAGGCTCTTTCTGACAACAATCACAAATCCAGCGACCTAGGAAAAGAAAGTTATCAATTATTAGGAAACTAAGTTTGTTACTCTCTCATCTGTTTAGGCAGCCTTTCACCATTTTGTTAGATGTTTATCTGTTTGCAGTACTTCCTTTAATGCAAACTACCAATGCTTTAAAAACTGAGCATCTTTTCTATAAAGCAACATACACAATTCCCTTGCAGATTCTTTATGTGTACCCACTGGCTACAGCAATCTTCATGGACCATGGAAGTGCCAGCACTCCAAGGAGGTGGTTATTAGGCAGGAGCTTTACAAACGATGCTCGATGCTTGCCGGTCATATATTCAGGTGAATGACTACAGTTCGAGGTCGTGAAGTTACCCAGAGCAGAAATGAATGGCAGCTGGGGAAGCATTTAAATGTTTATATTACAATAGCTGGAATCAAAGGCTGCTTTGGTAATTTTGTAGTTTTGTAGACATGTAATCTATTTTGATTATATTCTTAGGTCAGCCTCAAAGTGAAATCAGCCACAGAACCTGTAGGAAAGTGACAGCTAGCTCCAGTGCTTCCCAAAATGGGGCAGTACAGTTTGGTTTAAGTACTGTCCAGGGAATACTGCCACTGAATGCATATTCATGAACTTACCAGGGACTTAGAATTACATGTAAAGCAACAGTACCACCTGTTATTTTCTTTCTACTGCCCTGAGTTGGCCACATGGTATGACTGACTGGGCAATTTAAAGCTACTGGCTACCATGGAGGTACTTCTGTTGCAGTTTTGAACAAAAAAGGGAATGAAAGGGTTTAAAGAGATACTTAAAAATATTAAATTGAGACAACCATTTCATTTAGAAGCTAAACCAGCACAATTAACGTGAAATCTATACTCTAGCAATATGCAGCAATACAATTTCTTTGACGGGTTTCTTCAATGAAAAGAGGTAATTATTCTCAGTATTCTGTGGATATGGAAAAAAAATAGTTCTGAGTGAGCCTGTTTGGATTATGCTGTAAAAGCCAATTGTATTTCCTACACAGAAATTGCCAGGTTTAACTGTGCACAACCAAATATACAGAAATAAAGCTTAGTAAAAAAAATGGGTCCTATAGTGTGAATGCTTTCCTACAGTGTTTCTTACTCTTACCCTTCACACTTGTTTTAAACTATTCTTTTCAAAAGCAACGTATGTGTTAATTCTGAGAGTGAGCCCAGGACTCAGAGGAAGTAGGAAGGGAACAAGTAACTCTTACTTCATTACCTGAAGGGATAGCATCAAGCCCCACACAAAAAGTGTGATAACCACGGTCACATACATCACAGAACATCATTTCTTCTTCGTGGTGAGGCTGCCCACATATAATGCAGGTTTTACACTCCATACATTGCCAAGGGTATGTCTTAATCATAGCAACAAGCTCCGGGGTCATATCAAGGCAAGAAGGGTGGCCTAGATGAAAACCAGTATTATTACTTTTATGCCTGAAATGAAATTTAAAATTAGTTAGGCTGTTTGCTTTTACCAAACGTGAAGTTTAGCTCACCTCCGGGTGAAATCCCACAGTGCACTAAGTGTGAGAGCTCAGAGAACATGAAAGAGAGATGGAGTTGTAACAAAGGACAGAAAAGGCAACTGAACTCTTGCTACACATGGAGTACACCAAATATGTCCACAAACAGATCTGTCAAATTCCCTTAGGAATCCACTTAGTGTATGTAGATACTCACCACTGTTGTCACACTGCGAGCAATGTATAAGAGCTTCAGGTTTTCCTTTCTTGTTGGACTCCTTACCCTTCAGACAAATTCCACATATAGCATTTGGAATGACCTTTGGCTGGAAGGGTAGAAGAGGGCTATAAATTCATTCCAGAAGAATTTACAGATTCAACAGGAAATGTAATCTATCTCCTTAACTATTAAAATTAATATACTATCTGTCAGGATGTGTGAACCCTGAAACACGTGACAATCACTGACAAGCAGCAGCACTGAAAAAATCACAGACTGACCTACATAAAATTTTGCATTTGTCATACATAGTGAGTTACATGTAAATCCAATTGGATCAAAAGTATGTACTTGCCTCTTCCTATTAGTTCATCAGCTAACATTCTCCTCATGGTAAACTAAATGTGACATAGGGTGAAAAATTCTCCCAAGATAGAATACTACTTTATGAACTTCTGTGTGGATTTCCTGTTTATGAAGGAAATGATATATTTTTTTTATTTTCACTACATTTGTTCCTACATATAGAAAATTAATTAAAAAAGCAAAAAACTTGATTTTTTTAAATCTTCAGTTTCAAATTATCTGGTTAGATATGCTGTACAGGGCTGTATTTCTTTTATCATTCCTTCTTGTATCCAGTCATAATCATGTAAGAAACAAGAGCCTTGCATTTGACTAGAAATTTACATTTATAATTTTTCTGAGTGATCATCTGGAATGTGTCTGGGCCCATAAGATCCATTTAAAAGGTAAGAGAAATAGCAGGCTGTTAAAATGTGGAACATCTGCCTATATATTCAGTGTGCCAACTCCACAGATACACCAACAGTTTCATCCTGATGAGGCCTGAGGAAGAAGTAAGGCATTCTGAATTTCAGAAACATGGCAGTAGTTACATTGTTGAGCAATATAATATAATATGTTGAGCTGCATAATGAAATTCGTGAGAAATGTAGTCTACAATTCATGTACTCACTGATATTAAACTGACTAGTGCCAGTTTTAAAAAACAATGTTGCAGCAAAGACCCAACTAGCAGAGGGAGCCAAAGGTTTCTAAACAGCTTGTCAGTAAGCAAGAATCTCAGTCAACTACCAGCAACACACGGGGAGAAGAATAAGGTTCAATTTGAAAACAAATTTTAAAAATGAAAACACAAGTAAATAAACGTAATTACAAAGATCTTTTGCAATACAACTTATCTTTAAGTGTGTTTATTTCCACAGCCAGTTTTTGATAGCACCTAGCAAGGTAATTAGTATTTTGACTCATTTTTAAAGTATCAGGATGCATTGCTTTAAGTTTTCTGAAGTTTTCAGTGTGCTTTTTATGTCAAAACATGGCTAGAGCTTCAAATTGTTTGGTCTAAGGAGTTTTATTCAAGAAAGCAAAACACCACACCATAGATTTACAGGTAATTTCCTTCAAAAGATGACAGAGGCATTCGTAGACACTTTTTTTTTTGCTTATTTATTTTAGAAAAGCAAAGTCAACCTGTTTTATACATAAATATAATAAAACAGTAAAAGAAGTCTAACACACAAACATCTCTACAAAATAATAAATATAATGGAAGCAAAACCACGCATAAACTCTTTTACTGTTAACTATACTACGTGTCCTACATGTATACCTTTATACCCTGCTCCTCCCAACAAAAGTGGCACATGCTTAAACCTTGTCAGTGTGGCAGCATTTACCCTTCCATTGTTTAGGCTATTTTTTTAAATTGTATTGTAATCTAAGAAACCGAGCCTTTCTAGAATAGCAAGCACACTTTTCTAATCAAGACTTCTGGCTTGCTACAAATTTGTATTTTACTGCCTTTAATATACAACAGCACACTCCCCAGCACTCCAGCCAAAGTAAGCTGCTTTTTTGACACATGTAAGTGTTAAAGGTGTGTGCAGTTCACATTCTGATACACATAACTCTCAAGGTAGACATTGCTACAGATGCATTTATTAACAATGCTTCCATCTAGTCTTAGTTCACTAACCTGTATTCATTAGAAACCGTGCATACTAAAGGGGGGGAAGAATCACAGCCTTTTAATAATGAAGTTTCAACAGTATGGAAGTATTTTTACAAAAAACAAAAAAAAATTTAAAAATCAAGACTATTCACATTTTAATCCAGTTCCGTTCTAACACCATACACGGCTTTGAGAAATGTTATAAAAATGTCTGTCAATTCCAAATGGGAAGTCACAATATCCCATCTCATTAGGAGTAAATTTTACTTTCTATATCCCCATCTCATTGGGATAAGAGGAGAGAAAATGAATGCAGGGTCAAAATGATGACTGTGCTGTGTTGGTTTTCATTTCCATGCTGCTGTGCTGCAGCTCTCAAAGTAAGCTTTCCAACTACACCATTTTTATAACATCCTATTCTGAATGCAAAGCGTTATATTTTCATATACAGTGACCCGAAACAGAAGTGTTGCAAAATAAAGATATTCAATATATTTCAGTTTTATGTGCAAAAAAACCCTCCTGTACTTTTAACAGTACCCTGTGTGTGCAATTGTAGCAGTCAGTCCTGCAGCAACAGACTCACTACTTGTAACATGACAAAATGTAAAACACACGCTAATTGTTCTTGTTAAAGAACTGACAATAAAAAAGACTCCATATAAAATACAGTATTTCTTTTACTTGAAAATAACTCAATGGAAATGTATGGAATCCTGTAATACTCATAACGTTGCTATAACTATACACATATATGCTGAAGCCATAGCAATTATCCCTCAATTTTAACTACATGTAACCAAAAGATTAGTGTCCTACAAAAATAGTCCAATATTAGAGAACAATATAGAACATAAGTACTATAAAGATTTCACAGGGAAAACATTTTGTATCAGTTAAGCCTTCGGCTTGAAGTGCCTTAACATGTAGGCACATACGGTAGGTATATTGTTATCTGGTGTTTATATAGACTCACAAACAAGAACCATTCTGTCTTGACAGTTAAAACAGCTCATGTAATTTGGCTTATTGCAAGATTTCAAATATTCCCACAAACAAGAAAGCCAATCCTCTCACCCTCCTAACATATGATCACCACCCCTGAGGGAACAACAGCCGGATGGTTGATGCAGGCAGGGTATGCTGACATCGCAAAGATGTGGCACTCTAAGTTCATAATAAAGACCTTGTTACTGAGAGAATCAGTGATTTTGAACCAATAAGTAATTGCTATAGGAATCCATTTCCAAATGCAGTGCTGTATACTATTATTGCTCTTCTACAGTTTCTAAGTTCAAAACTTTGCTGAAAGTTCTGCTCCACCAGTTCTCTCTCAATGCATTCATAAGACCATTAAAAAGATTGAACTAATCAAACATTTGGGCATCTCACAGCTAAGTGCAGCTTCTGTAAACCAGTGGCACACAATTTCTAATATCAAGTTAAACAAAGCTAAAGCAAAATTTCAGCCTTCATCCTTGGATTTCATGTTCATGGGAATACTGAAATGCATTCTATGTCTACAGCTTCTTGCAAAATTACATATAAAAAAATATATATGTGGTAACCACAGTCTAAATCTACACAGTTCACACATTTCTTAGTAAGTTCCTGAAAACAGAAAATTCAAATGGAGCTTGCTGTCTGTTATGAACTTGTACAGACACTGTATGTAGAGGAAATTTATCAAAGCTATCCAATTCTTGCTGGAAATTAGCTTCTTATTGTTATAGTTTATTTACTATTAACTTAGTAAACACAGATAGTATTTATAAACATAAAATGCAATCCATCAACAGCTTACTCTTGCTGAGACAGATTCTCAGTATGTACAAACTCGTCACTGACAAAAGTGTTCCTTGTCCCATAACTGTCAATAAGCATTGCTGACTGGTAAACACTCAACCCTATCTTAACTTAGTGTTTTCCCTCTTTATGGGCCTATTCCTGCTCCCATTTAAGTCAATGGAAAATTCTCATTCCTCTCAGTGGAACAGGACTAGACAATTACATGCTTTAAATGTGTTACAGTTTATTCAGATCCTCTCTCCGTATGCAGAATAGTAACACAAACAATGCATGTCTATATCCATTTCTTCTGAAAAGTATTTTTATCATAATTCTCAAAATTATGATACAGGAATACTGAAGATGAGGGTCCTAGGTTTGGCAATCACTGCTTGATAGCTGAAATGTCTTAACAGCCTCATCAAGTTTCTAGTTTAGACAAAAGCGTATTGCCCACAAATGTCGCTACATAGTATTAACTACATAAAAAGCTCTTTTCCAAATACTGTTACAGGGGTTACATAGTTACCTATACAACTGAAGTAAGCTGAAGTAAGCTGAAGTAAGCTTTCTGCCTTCCATCCTATACATCGTAACATTGCAGGATAAAAGGCTGTATTTAAAATGAATGTCATAACAATACGTTCAGCCATACAGCTGCACTTTACAGGACTGATCTCTTGGTATGCTGCCATATGAAATAGAAAAAAAAAGTAACAGATAGTGAATGCTAGCTTCAAACTGGCACATACTTCTGGCTGCTACGTTAAAGCAGACAGAAAGATGCTGAGTTCCAATGATAAATCCACAATGGATTTTCCTACTATTACTGCCTACGAATCTAAGAAGTTAACCCAATAGGAGGCCATCGTACAGCTAGGGTAAAGAAAAGCCCCACACGAAATATAAGCAAAAGGAAATAAGGAAGCAAACAGATGGAGCACACAACAGGAGAACAGCTAGTGAAGTACAGCAAGCAGAAGTTCCACATAATTGAAAAACCAAATACTTCAGGAAGAAGCTGGTGAGTAAAATTCGGTCAGGGGCTTTTTTCTTCTACCTTGTACCCAGGAACTGATTTGGGTAATACAGAACGTTTGGAACCATCTTTTCTTGGAGTAGCACTTTTGTCTCTTGTTTTTTGTCTTCCCTGAAAAGAATCCTCCTGGTTGTCTGTGGCGCAATCACCTTCAGATACATTGCCAGACGAATTGTCCTATAATAAAAATATCATAGCTATATTTTTTTATTTTTTTGGATAGACAGACAAGTCTTTTCTATGCCCCTTAGAGTCAACTAAGGTAAGAGAAGGATATGTCATTCCTTCTGCAAAAGCATGGGGTTTATCACAATCTAGAACACCTTTGTTCACAACATTTATAATCTGTTTTTTTTCTGGTTTAAGAGACTGGCATCAGCAACAGCAGTCATGTTTTTGCAGTTGGTCTTTGTACCAGTATGGGGAGCACAACAGTGTAATTCTCTGAAGTGTTTTCATTAGAAGTCAGCAAGAAATCAACTAAATGCAAGATGCTGTTTACAATGTAAAGGGCCAGCAAAAACTTTAAAGTGCCCTTGTCATGCATTTAAAGCATACAAGGACTGCCTTGAATTAAACATGTGAAGGTTTTTTTCTGCCACCCTCATCTACTGTTTTCACCAGGAGCAATCTACATATTTAATTTGGACTGCAGCAGAAGAATGCCTTCGTTGGCAAAACACACTTCCACATTTAATACAGAACCAAACAACAGAATTTATTTTGCAGTTAAAGCTTTTTTTTTTTTTTTTTTTTTTTTGAGGAATGAGGAAGCAAGAAAGCAGGGAAGAGGTTCAAAGAGGGTGAGAGATCAATGTAGGCATAATTAAGAGCAGCAGCACAAGACTTATCAGGAAAGTGTTAATAAAGGCTTCCAAAAAGCTCCAGAAGGAAGCAGTATGATTACCCATATTTATTACAACAAAACCCAAGAGGCTAAATAACAATGATGCCCTAGAGTAAAATACACTCTGTAAATAGTAATAAGCCTCTGCCCCAGGTCCTGAAATCAAAACAGACAAAACAGACACAGAGCAAATGGCAGAGTGTAACACAAAAGCAGATGGAACTATATGGCAACAAGCAATTGTATGTTCCATCATTTTTTTAGGGGAAGGGTTATTTAGGTCAGACTCACTAAAACACTACAGAAAAGAAAACTGCTACCAACTCCAACAATGGAGTGGCGGGGAGATATGAAAAAGGCAAAGTTATAAAGCATATTGTGGGGCTCACTAGGGAGATGTGACAAATGGTAGGTAACCCATATCTGACAATGTCTCACCTCTGTGTTTTTTCTGAACTATATGCCCCCTTCAATGACTAACTAGCTAAGAACCCCTGCTCCCATAGCCAAAACTACTTCACAGGAATCTGATTATCAATCTTCCACACTTCTCTACACTTTTCAAATGCAGGGACATTCTTCCTTCTGCATTCTGTCACACAAAAAAAAAGATTTCTGAGCCTCTGTGAAAAATCAAGAGTAGTCTCCTTGTTAAGTTACTTTTTTCTTACCATTAATGAGAATGGAAGTCAATGGAAAAGGAAACTGGGAAAAAATGGTTAAAGACCAACTGACCAACTGTAAAAAAGCTGGACTGTGATTAAACCAAAAATATGAGTTGACATTCAGCATGCTATGTTTATATGATTTATTCTTCTCAAAAAAATGCAAGCAGAAACAGTGTATTAAACACCTAGCTCTCCTTTTGTTAACCTACAAGCTGACCTCTGCCTCTCTCCAATTTTAACTATCTTAGAAAATTCAAAGATAAATATTTACATGACAAAATTTAGAATTGTACATACCTACTGTCAAACACGTTCATCAATCATGCTAGAAATCGCTAAATGCACTGTGACATTCCACTGCTGTTAAAATTAGGGTTAAACTTCTGGAAAGAGATTGTCACCAGCATACAAACTGAAGAATACACCAATGGTGCAGTTGTACTTAGCTAATTTGAATCTCAGTTGGCTCTTGAGCATTTAAAGCACTATCAAGGTATGTCTGTGAAAGTTTAACTGTTGTCTGAAACGTAAGGGAATTTTACATTTGCATAACTGGAGAGAACAGAAATATCTTTTAAAAGATGCATTGTAAAGCAAAAAAACACGGTGCTTTTTACCTTCTTTTTTAATTGGAATGAAGTAACCATTTCTATACTGAGTACTTGCTGCTTCCGCATCACCAAAAAAAAAGTTATAAGGCTATCAACACCTTTGCTTTAGGGACAGATTCTGTGGAACTTCAAAATATACTGTGACCTGAACTACAGTATTCATTCTCCTCAGAAATGCCAGCAACTTTCCCTTGGGAAAAAGGGCATAATGAAGAGCTGCGCTGGGAAGTTTCTTCAGAATTTCTTTAAACAAAACAAAACAAACAAAAGAAAATTTTTAAAAAGGAAGAAAAGGCCTGAAATGTCAAATATTTGTTCAATTTACTCCAAAAATGGACCAAAACAGAAAGCAATAGAGAGCAATGTTATGAAATAAACAGAAGTACTAAAAAAGGTCTTCCCTTCATTTTGCAAATGAAGAAGTTAATTAAACTAATGAAAGTCAAGGGAAAGGATTTTTTTTTTCAAGAATACTTTCAATTTGTCTCACCGAATTGCCTTTGGTTTTCCTTTTTTCATCACCTCGCCCTTCCTCTGCATCATCTGAATCTCCATCACTGTCCAGTGTAAGCAGCTCCGGATCCAAAGGAGGTTCATAAAGAGCTGTGTTTAACGGCAAGTAACGAAGTTCATCCGGAGAGTACCTGCAGTTAAATAAATAACATTCATTAAGTCACAGAGTACACAGGGACTTTAATAAGAAAGTCTCCCTTTTTTCAGGAAGGCACATAAAAATATGGAGTTCTGAAAACAAAGGAAACATATTAATTTCTCCTCCCCAATGTGATACTATGTATAGTACTTGTCTTGTTTGTAGAGCAGATATTCACGGAACACAGGTGTATTTGCAAACTTTTAACCAATCCATGTTACTATGTCTAACAGACCATACACTTTGTTTATGCATGCACCGTGCACTAGAACATGTACAATTCTAACCCAGGGCACACAAACATGTCAGAATACAGCTGTAAAGCTGATTATTGAGAACCAAAATATGCATATGAAAATGTAATTTCAGAAGAAGGTAAAGGTGTAATCACACTGCTTATAGCCAGATACAGCTTAACATGCATTATCTACCCTTTTTCTTTTTAACCTTAAAGACTAAGAAAAATAAAAGTCCTCTTACTGCTGAGGAAAGCATTGTAAGGAACAGAATACTATTTTGCTGCATATAATGAAAGGTCATGTCCTTCAGTGAGATAGAAAAGCAGTTTCACTTGCAGCTTACAAGTGCAAAATAAACATAATACGAAGTAATTTTAATTCAATTGATTTAATAAAATTGAAATCCTTCAGGAACGTCCTGTAACATGCAAATTTGAGGTGGGTTGTATGAACATACACTGGAAGGAGCAAGGCACATGCAGACAAAGAGCTTCTCTACAGAAAACCAAGCACATATAGCATGAATACCATCTCTATTGTACAACAGGAAGACTGCAGCAAAATCTTCAAATCTATAGAGATTTGTTCAACGGTAGTATGCTGCTAGTAAAACCTTAAATTTATGTCAACAGTCAAGTAACACGTTTTTCATTAAATTTAAAGGTTGTGATGTCTTTCTCTCTCTTACAAACCCAACATCAAACTTAACCCACTAGACCAAATTTTTTTTAAAAGTTTCTAAAACTTCAAAATAGAACAGCAAGACTGTCAGACAGAAGACATGTGATCACAAGCCAGCATCATAACATTGTGATAAAAAACATTAATTTTAGCACATGTGCAGAGGCAGATGATAAGTAAACAGGAGGGTGGCAGAAGTGAAATCAATGTCTCTTTTTACCATGGTAAATACCTGAGCAGGCCAAATCTCAGGCACTGCAATACATCAGCAGAGACTCTGCTGTTGCAGTCAGTACTGTTTTGTTGACACAAGCTGTCACACTATGCATCTTTGAAGACTATCAAGTGTCTCAAACTAAAATTGATTTGAAACCTTACAGCAAAGACACTGAAATGTTTTCCACCTGCTAGATGTAGACAAAAGAGATCAGTGCAACAGAACTGGCAGTTGGAATGCTTTTAAAATACCTTTTGTAGTACTCCTGGAACTGGCCGGGTATGAGAGCCACTGGATAAGGACTAACCTTTGTTCTCTCCGTAGGCAAGACTTTGTATTTTCCTTGAGGCACCTGGATAATCTGCATTGTTCAATATAAAATGACATTTTTGTTTCACATACAAACAGCAGAGCCTCCCTCACCAAATACTCCCCCAAGTATTTTTTAACTTGACAGTTTTACTGAATTGGAACAGCCAGTTGAGTTCTCCCATGAGAAATTCAATTCAGTAAAATGCTAAGAGATCCCACTCACAAAACAGTATCATAGATTAAATCCAATTACTAAGTATCTTGTGAACTGAACAAAGATTAGATAAGACCTTTTTTAACAGTGTATTATGAAAAATAATTTTGAAATTAAAAACTAGCAATTGAAACAGTAAACATTAACTTTTGTGACTGGCATCTTTAGCATGAATTATCACTATTGGTCCATACTGCTTTAGAGTAGAAAGAACATGTCCATCTAATTCTGAAACCAGACTGTACTATTAAAAAAATCCATTAATGTAAATATATGGAAAGGAGAAGCTTACACAATAAGCCTTCCTTCTCTTAGAAGGAAATAGAAGTAATTATTCACTATTTTGTCTCTAACATGGTCAATATACCACGAAAATGAAAGCCTTCCATAATTGTCTGCCATGTAACAATTGCAGAGAAAACTTTTGCTTTGCTGCCTTCATAGAAGCAGAACAGCACTGCTTCAAAATGCCAGATAATTTTTTTTAATTGAACATAGAGGCATGTAACATATGCAATACAAAAATAATACAACACCTAACAAAAAAGGGCATAATATTGACATGCAGCACACTTTTAGGTATTAAATAGTTTTCTCTTTTACTTCGGGAATTGTCAGGCAAAATTTTGGAAGTATTGAAAAATAGAATTAACCATTTATATGAATAAACAACGTTCTTAGTTTTATGCTACTACTACCAGAATAAATACACAGTAACAAAATGACACTGAGATTTTTAGAGCTTCCTCAGACAAGTATTTTCAAGTTTAAAAAGTCTGCAGGTTCAATATATTTGAGATTATTTTTAGCAGTATAACCCATTTAATAGCAAAACTGTATGTCTCTGTATGAGTGAGAAAATAACCAACCACATTGAAAATAGTTAAAATGGTACCAAAAACAACTTCACTAAAACAAGGAGCTCCCTCCTAACAATTGGTAAGAAATTTAAATCTGCCTACATGTGTCTGTAAATCAAAATAGGCTCTTCTTTCTTCCATCCGCTCTCGGTTTAAATTGCTGTTGAATTCTGCAGCTTTCTTGGCAGCTTTTTTAATATATTCTGGAACTTTACTGGCTTCTACTTTCTGTGTATTCTGCTGCTGCATTTGCTGGAATAAAAACAGTTATATTAATTCACATACACTTCACTCAGTTTGAGAAGTACCTTTTCTCACACTCCCATTGCAGATTTGGTTCACCTAAGTGGTAATTACTTACAGAATACTCTTTGTAATGATCTGTTATTCGCTGCCGTTCTTTCTCTTGCAGTATAACAGAATACTCAGCATGTTTGGCAGGGTATTCTTTAATCATAAGATCAATTACTTCATCACTACGCAAAGCTGTTAAACCTAAAATAAATAAAAGCAATAATGATTCTATCTGGCAAAAGTAACTGTAGGTTATTTATATCCCACAATGACCAAGCTACAATGCAGATCTCCTCCCCTGAAGGTTCCAATACAACTGATCTCCAAACACTGACAATAATAGCATAGAACAATTTATGCCACTACCACTGATGACAACTATAATTTTAAAAACAGGAGTAGTTAAGTCAGCATACATCTGTATTGGATATATGAGGCAGAATGTAACATTTTAACTCGATATATAAAAATTAGATACAGTTCTCTTATGCATAGTTAACTTAAAAAAATAAGCTCACAGGTGAGAAATAAAGGTGGTATACTAAAGATTGTTAGCATATAAAATGACATTACATTTTCACAGACCCATGATATGCAGAAAAACATGGCAGCATTATTTAAATCCTAACATGTCCAAATCACATATATCAGAAAAGTAAGAAAAAAGCCCTTTCAATAAAAGCCTCAGAAATTGCATCAATCCATTTCAAGTATATTCAAGTGCCTTAAGATACACTCTTCTAATTTATAACATAGAAGCTGAACCATTTAAGATACACTGATGTTTGCTGGGCTCCAATGCAATGCAGCAAAATAAGACTAATGTATATAAAGACACCTTGTACAAACATATGCAATATATACCACCATGTATATATACATACATATAATGCATATGTATATGAGACTACACAATTGTGGTGGTCTCTTTTCTAAGAGAAAAAGGTTCTGCAAGTTAATTTAGAATATAGCAAAATCCCCTCTAAGTTATTAGAATAGATCCAAAATACATTTGTTAATAATAAATCTGGAATACAGATACATGATGGCCAATTTACTAAGCTAACAATAAAGCAGCTTTAATTTCAGAATTTATGCTTCCAGTTGAGAGGGAATTCTTCTCTACCAAACTGAACCCCCTTTTCCAGAGTGCTGTACTTTTTATACTGTAACAAGGAGTTTAACAATTTGTTTTCTTACCTAGTGTGCATTGAGTCTCTGTGATAACATTTAGCTCTCTGAGGTAGAGTTTCTCCTTGTGAGATAAATCTCGCCTTTCTAAATCTCAAGAAAAAACAAAAAAGAAATAAAAAAGGGTGCAGTAAAGGAAACTCCCCCATAAACACTCTCAAAGTATTTCAACAGTTTTGTTTCCAGGCAGCTAGAGCCTGTATTATACTGCTATTCCAAGAAACATGACAACTTTATAAATTAATTTTAAATTTAACAAACAATGTAGAGATATGGTAGATTTTCGTGACCTATAGTAAATCAAGACCCTGCCTACATAACTCATACATAAATCATAACTGCCTACAGTTATGACTTATAGAAAAACCAAAGAAACCTGATATGTAAGTTCAGATTCAGAAAACTTTACCAAGCACTGATAGTACAGTCTTTTTTCTTATACCAAGACTTTTTAAAATAAATTCCCCAACAAAAGAGCCAGACTGGACAATTCTGAATAAAGGAGCTGAAGTACTAGAACCTCCACAAACATGCTCTTTAATATTTTTCCGCAGTGTAGGTATGTTTCCACAATTCAGGAAACAGAATACAGAGATCCAATTATATAGTAAGAAATCATCAACAAATCACTAAAAATAAAACTGACATCAGTTTACTTACTCATCTAACAATTAAATCAGACTTGCTTGTAAATTTTCAGTGGCAATACCACAAAGTCTTATATTACTTTGAAAACCAGTGGATATATTTCCAGTAATGCAAATATAAAGTACAAGTATAATCCAGGTCTGCTTTTCCTGGGTCTTTTTTTTTTTAACAGCTAGCTAGCTCATCCTATAACCAAAGAAGCACAGAATACATCCAAACTGCTTAAGGACATAAACTTTTGGAAGAAAAACTTTAAAAAATAAATACCTGGATATTTTCTTTTAAAGGAAGTCACACCCAAATATTCACTGACTTGCTCTTGAAGCATATAGTATTCTCCTGTTTCATCGGGTGGCCATTTGTATTCTATCAAATTTTCAGCAGGAAAATAACTATACCTAAACATAAGAACAATGTTACAACAAATCACAACAATCCTTAAGAATACTACTTACATCTCTAGGAATTCAATAATTCCTATTTGTATGTCAATGAAAAGTAACTACAAAGTTGGACAAGCACTTTAAAATACTGCATCCTGTTAACCCATTTCAAAAGTCACTTTGTTACAACCAACTTCACATATACTTCTCTAAATCACCATTTATCAATGTGCTAAGGGACAGAATGTGAAGAAAGTGATATACAACATAATGGAGAGGACATCAGGAAAAGCAACTACTACAGAGTCAAAATTCATTCAAGTATGCAATGTTTTAAAAACATGTAAACTATGCTTCTGACTGTAAATCAGATGCAACACTTTTTGTGGCACTCTAAAATAAAATGCCTAAAAATATGCTGGGAGCAAGAGACATTTAGCTGTTTATAGGACATAAACTCAATTCAGAAAAATGAAGAATACACAAGTAATGAAAAAAGACCTAATACTTAACCATGCTGAACAATAGTCAGATTTGCAATAAAAAGTGGAAATTGTAAAAAACAGTACTACCCAAGGTCCTGACTGGAAGTTTCACAGCTCCGAGAACTGTCCCCTGAGCCCATGCGACGTCTTTTGGATGGCTGGCTGCCATCATTGGAATTTTCTTCTGTGTCATCCTGAAATGAAAATATTAAAAAAATTAGACATTGTAAGGTAATCCACAATTTAAATATACTTGAACTGATAAGCCATTCTGTGACAGTCTTAACAGACAACTCACAGGACAGTCTACATAACAAATTATTCTTTGTTATAAACTACCTGCATGACATGTGGTAGGCCCAGAAGGAGAACTGGGTGGCTTCAAACCTGTGGCTCAGGTGGAGTTCTGAATACACACAGCTCTGACCCCAAGTTCATAATTCCTGATGTAAACTACCTCTGGCACTTGATCAGACTAGCACTCTAAACTAAAAGCAAGTTCAAAACAAAAACCCCAATTCCTTGCTGAGAGCTGATGCTTACAAAATCAGGGAAAATATTACTGAAAGCAACATAGTTTATAGGTATACAGTTAAAATAAAAGCAATGGTGTACAGTTTACAAAAAATATCATTACAAGCAAGTAGCAAATACTTGTGTCTTGAGATGAAAAAATATACAGAAGAAAACACCCAACTTGGTATTACAACAGTAAAAATCTAGAAGACAGTGACTCAGTTGATGTTGTGTTTTCCACTGATTGTTGTCCCATAATGTTGTGCAACTCCTACCTGCATCATCAACAATCTCAAAGCATTTAGTGACCAACCCTATCTGATCATAATTGAGATACAGAAAGCAGAAATCTTTAAGTGAATTGCTTACCATAACCAGTAGCTGAGTCAAGAACAAAACAGTTCTTTAAGTAATTGAATCTCTAAAGTGGAGCAGAGTCTAAGAATCAATTCCCTAACTTCTGTGAAGTTTAAGCAAGAGGAATTAACCTGTCAGAAATAAATGGATCAAGCCCAACTATACTTACTTATTTAATGACAACAATGACTATTAGGTCTATCTTTGCTAATGTCTTTCATTCTAGTATGTTTTACTTAACATATTACTTAAAATATCAATTTTAAAATATTCCAGCAAACAGGAATACATTACTTTTATTATGTAACATTTCACAATGTTATGATCAAGACAGGCCACAGGCAAAAAGCATTTGTCTCATGGATTTTTGGCTTATTTCTTCTTTTCTGCAGTTTTAAACAAATATTTTTCTTCCTCTTTAGGAGCAAGAAGAACATCTTTCACACAGGAATAAAAATTGAAAAGCAAAATTTAATGAAACTGTGTTTTCTTAGTGGAGCCATCCTTAAAAAAAGCAGTATGCAGCATCTCCACTCACATTACCAGTAACACTGCTTCTAAGTATTGCTGAAAATACCCTGTATGAACTTAGAAGAATGAAGCAGCAGTTCCCAGTCAAAACATTGCACTATTTTGTGACACAACTGTCTCATCAGTAGTTCATTTCTACTTCCCACAAGAATATTAATGCACTCCAAATCTTTTTAACTGCGAGACAAATACATGAACAGGGCCAAAGTAACCCTCTGGAAGAGATTTCAAAACGTCTTTAAAAGACAGATCTCAACCTGACAGTTTGGTGGAAGTGCCTGATACCAGTTTATCCTTTCGCTTTGTAATTTTTCGTTTATTAAACTTGGTACTGTTACAAAGTATGAGTATCCGTATCATAGAGAGATCAGCGCTCTCCGTTTCCATTTGCTTCCTTATTTGCTTAAAATTTCACGAAATTCAATCACACAAGTCCAATTTGTTGCAGACGACTTCGTATATGAAGTAAAAACATCTGCAATCGAAAGGCAAAATGCTGCTCAACCACTTTCACTGTTCAAAAAAAAAAAAAAAAAGATAGCTCTGTTCTGTGGCTCTCTTTACATGAAAAGTTAAACGGTGTCCAAAAAAGCCCCTTTCTCCCTGAAAACGGCTGTTTCTGTAAAAAGCCTGTTAGTCCTTACGAAACATGGTGACGTTATAAACTTCTGGTACGTCTATCCCAGTAAGATCGACGTAACGCTCCTTTCTTAACTGATAGAGAAGCCTGAACTACCCGACACGTGTTTCAAGGAGCAACTGGCGATCTACGCCCGAGTCTTTGGCGCCACAAGTGCCCGCGGTGCCCGGGATGCGCGGGAGCAGCCGGCAGGGCCAACGCGGAACTGCCCGCGGCCAGACCCAAACTTTCCCGGCTGCGGCGCTGCCGCGGTGAGGACTCAGCTGCCGCGCCGCCCCCGGGAAGACGCCGAGGGACTTTTGGGAAGGAGGACGGCCCCGTGCACCCAGCCCCACAGACCGGCGCTCAAAGTTCGGCCCAGGGCGCGGGAAGCCGCCCGCCACCGTCCGGCTCCCCCGGCGGGCGTGAGGTGAACCCGGGGCGGGCGGCTCGGGTGGGAGGCGCGGGTCAGGGCGCGGGGGCCGCGCGAGGCCTCCCGCCGAGGCGGCTGTTGCGCCGCAGCTCCGCGGCCGCCGCCACCCGCTCTCACCTTGAGGGACTGCGCGCCGGGCGTGGCCGGGTCGCTGTCGCAGAGGCGCGGGGACAGCACGGCCGCCATGGCCGCCGCCGGCTGGGCCAACAGGAGCGACGCCGCCGCCGCCGCCGCGCGACCGGGCCTCGCGCCGCGCCCGCCGGCCCCGCCCCCCCGCGCCCTGCGGGGAGCGGCAGCGGCCCCTACCGGCCAGCGCGCGCACGGGCGCGGCGGCTCCTGCTCCGCCCCCCTCCGGGCAGCCCGCGGCGACCCCGGCCCGCGCCGCCGGACCGGCACCCGCACCGACCCGGCGCCGCCCCGCGGGACAGGCGCGGGGGACCCGCCGCCGCCGGTGCTGCCGCCGCCGCCGCGCCCTTCTCCTCCTCCTGCAGCCGCCACTCGGGCGGCCGCGCGGCCCGGCCGCGAGCGCGGAGCCGAGCCGCCGCGGTAGCGCTTGGGCAGCAGCGCGGGACGGAGGGGCAGCATCCCCCCGGCGGGGTGGTCAGCGCCGAGCGCGGGAGCTGGTGCCCAGCAGGGCCGGGCTGCTCCGCTCCGCCGGCAGGCTCCCGTCTCCGGGAACGTCAGCCGGGGACGAGCTACGTTTGTGAACCATCAGCCCCCGCAGGAGGGGGGTTCGGGGGGCGGGGGGCGCACTCGGAGGAGCCGCCACGAGCGCGCTCGCCCCTGCGACGGAGGGAGGGCGCGTGCGGCCGCTCCCCGCCGCTGCGCGGTCGCGCCGAGCTGGCTGCGCGCCGCGCCGCCTCCCGGTACCCGTGCCGGTGCCGCCGGTGTGGGCGGGCGGAGCTGAGGCGCAGCCCACCCTACTCGCCACGGGAACGACCCTCGTCCTGGGGACCGGAGCGGCGCGCGCGCCCGCCCGCCCACAGCCGGGCCCGTGGGCGCGCACGGCCCCGCGCCGGCGAACAAAGCGCACGGCCGCGCCCCAGCCCCGGCGCCGCCCCCGGCCGGGGCTCCCCTCGCCTCGCGTGTGCGCCCACCCGCGGCACGGGCTGCTCACCGCCCCTCGAGGTTTGCCCGGCCGCGACTCCAAACGCGCTCGGACCCAAACTGGCCATGGGGCATTGGGAAGCACCGCAGCTCCGACCGCGTTTGTGTTCAGCTCCCAACAATAAAATGGACATGGCAAAGGCATCAGCGCTCGATTTCCACGCACGGCAGATCTAAAAGCGGATGTCTACACATTTCACAGATCTGCTAGAATCTCATTCTACACAATACACAATCCGTGCATCCTTGCCAGTTACGGACCAATTCTCAATAGCCTCACGGTTCACCCCATCGTCCTCCTGCCACTGCCATCAGAAGCCCCTAGACCAAAGTGACCTAACTCGCTCAATTCAGTGTTCGTCCACCAACCAGATCCTAGGTGATACTTAACCAAAGGTTAAGACCCGGAGAACCTAATAACTGAACTTTCACTTCAAGGCAAACGGCTGGAAATTTGCACAAGTTCCTAGGACTGCAAAACACAGCTTCCCTCCCAGCCAAGTTTCTAGGCAGACTAGCATTTTATCATAGATACCAACTATGAAAATGAAAAATGAACATGCTTTTTCTTACAAAAAGCATGCTTTGAACAAAACTGATACCTGCAACTGCATGTAAGCATTGGTTAACAGTCCTAGGCACCCAAGAGACAAGCAACATTCAAAATTTTGCAATGTTTGGCCTTACACCAGCTGCTCCCACTTCCACAGCAGAGCATTACAACAGATGAAGCCCATATGTACTCAACCATAAACATTTCCAAAGCAGTTTTTTGGTTCTTTTTTTTTTTTTTAACAGAGTAAAACTGAGCAAAATTATCTCAACTGTATGTCAGTTTGAATGTGCCAACAGCAAAAGGACAAAAAAGAATACTGAAATAATGATGTTTTGAAAATTTTCAAATATACCATTTACTGTGATGCACAAATGCAGCTGAGACTTTCAGAGTTTTAGTCGTAATAACAAGCCATTACCAAAGCCAGTGCAATAAATGTATCAGTTTCACATTTAGCTGAAACCCAAGTGTCTCTTTGAACATCCCAGAGGCATCTGCTGGCAACCTAAAGGGATAAAAAAGAAAAAGGCACAAGTGAACCTATATGCAGCAGTTTTACTATTTATTTTTAAAGAACACCCAGCATTATCTAAATGCTAATTAATCATATTAGGAGAGTTACAACTATAAACAACAATGCAAGAGTTGAATAAAATTAACAGTTCCTATTTGATGTTAATTTTTTTTTGCTTCACAGCAAAGCTCCCACTCAAATAGCTCCCTCTACTTACACCCAAATAGATCCAAAAATCTCAACACCAAGCCCCCAATTCTCTCTTGTGTTCACTTGTTACAATTTAACATACTGTAAGAACACCCCTTCAAAAGCAATAGAATGTCTGTGTGAATAGACATTAGTTTTGGGAACATATACAACCAAGAAGTCACATACCCTACTCCTCCACCTCCAGCTTACTCCAGCCTACTTGTAATTTTATTGGGCTCTCAGCCTTTTTGATAAAATTGTTTTCAAAGCTGAACTGTGTGAATTGATGGCTGGAATAAACATATTCCTTGGGAGAACACAGTTAACTTGGACCACTTCACTAATCTATTTACAGCCCCTCAGCCAAAGCACCCCTTAGGAGGCAGTGTACTGTGAGACGGCACCAGAAAAGCAGGTAGATGCAGGCAACTCACAAACTGGATTTAGTACTGAAGCCCAACCCTTCAAATGTTGTTTCATGTAACTGACTAAACACAGGTTGGTTTCAATCAGGTTTTATGAACTGATGAACATTCCAAAGTAGAAGTGTTCTTTGACATTCTACTAGGCAGATAAAAGCATTCTTAATGCCAATGAGAGCTTGGAATACTAAATTGATATACCAACACAGCAAAATCTAGAATCCTTTTACTTTTAGTGTTCCAAGTTCAGATGACTGTTGTTAATTTGAAGTCCCAGGAGCATGTCTGTGGCAGCTGCAGTTACCATCCCTTCTTTGCCACCCTCCTGTTCCATGTCACTCCACACTACAACTGCACAGCATTTTGTGCTTAATGTGAGAACCCAAATGGAGATCCAAGGACACTGGACAAATAAAAACAAAATTTGCTAAACTCGTGCAATTGTACTGGCACAGCATGCAGCAGAAACAAGTGGGTGACAGGGAAGTGCAGTAGAGGCTGTTTACCACTTACTGAACACATGAAGGCAACAACATTCAGAGAGTTAGGCAGAATCACAGCAGGACCTTGAATTGTCACTACCCATAAAGAACATAAAAGCTTCAGGACCACCTCAAACAAGTTAAGCTGCTGAATGTGAAAGAACACCCAGAAGATAACACAGTTCTAAAACTTGTTTTTAATTTTCAAAATGTGTAACAAATATTATGTTTGCTTACAATCATTGCCTGATTTGCCTTTTCCACAATTAGCACTGATACCACATACTTATAACGGTCATAGTCCAAATCCTTCACAGCCTTTAGTATTTCTTCTGAGATTGAAGCACACAAGAAGGGACTAGAAGCTCCATCGTATGTGGCTCCTTGTAGTTTATTCTATCAAAAACAATTTTGAAAGGTCTTAATTTACATCCTAGTAGTCTTTTGCAAAAAACACCCTTTACAATAATTTTCATTACAGTAACATGAAAAGAACTAATGAGTCGAATAGTCAGTACAGACGATGGTCTCAAACAGCAAAGGATGCACTACTTTTACTCTGAAACTTTTTATCTGTTTTTTTTTTTAAAGGTGACACACATGCCCAGCCAATCTCCATTTAATAATCAGGAGTGTATTCTTCTCCATTATTTGGGCTCAGTTCACTGGAAAACAATGCTACAAATACCTGTTCCAAATATCCAAGATATGTCTTCCAGACAGCAGAATTAAAAAGATCTGGTTATAACTGTTCAAAATACCACTAACAGCTTTGGATTATCAACAGTTTGTTCTCTTTCATTTTTGCATAATTTGTGTACATAGCAGTCTGATTGTCAAGGATACCAAAGTAAATTACCAAGTAATTTTATGCAGGTCCTGTGATATTAGCAGAATGAATAGAAATCCACAAATTTGATGTCATGATCTTTCACTAATTGGATATTTTGTGGATTATGGTACTTTGAACTGTGCGGCAGCTCAATTTGATTAAAAAAAATGCAAAAGTTTATAAAGATTCAGCTTCACCTAGACAGCACATGCTCAGCAGTGACCTTGCAGAGGCCCTTCTGCACTTTGCAAAACAGAGTACACTCACATTACACTCATGTTCCAAGATTCAAAAGACTGCAGAGATTTATGCATGTTTATGAAATATTCACTGTTCCATAAATACTTCTGCAAGACAAGCTGCTTTTGCAACGAGACAATTAATTTAAATACTACTATACCGTTAGTATTGCTTGAGCTTTGTCTCTTATTAAACCATCCTGAACTTTAGTACGTGGCTCCAGTCTGTATGTGTTACGGCATTTTGGCTTTGCCTGTTCTTCTGTTGGAGCCGTGCCTGAAGCATCGTTATATGTCTTTTTTCCTTTTGACTGTACAAAATAATTGAAAAAATCCACATCAAGTGTCAATATTTTAGAATTTAAAGATTCTAAATAATACTTTATGATCCACAGTTAAGAGAACAAAACCCCCAATAATTAGTCTGGGAATATGTTAACAAAAAACACAGAAAGCTAGAAGCTGGTTATCATCTTCTGGCTGTTTTAACACTACTGTTTTGCCTGAAAAAAAGAGAAGTGGTTGACTTCAACTCAATTCTAAATTCTTTTCCAGCAAAATCCAACTGTCACCTAACTTTGCATTTAAACTCGTCAATCACATACACCACATTAGCACCCTGAATCCACTCCCTTTTCCAAGTAAAAATACACAGATATTAACATACCCATGCAACAAAACTGTTAGCCACAAGTTCAAGCTTTTCATTCAAGCAGTCTACACAATACCCAAAATACAGACCTGGTTCATTTACTACTTAATTTTACTTGTCCTTATTCCTTGCTACTAAAATAGTAGCTTATGTATTTATGACTGAATTTGCTCATTAAAAAAAAAAAAAAAAAGGGAAAAGTAAGCTCCAGCGTGCAAAGCTTTGTAATTTTGCTTGGAACTTAAAACCAGATCTCCCCACCCAGCTGTGTACTCTATCTCCTCAACACACATAACAAAACTTGTCCCTCTATGAATGCAAGAAGCAAGTCTGATGCTCTGAAAGAAAAGTCACCTCCTGTCCACCAGGGTGGCTTAAAATGGAACTGTAAAATAGTAACAAAAAGACAGAAAAGCACAGGGAGCCAATGAGATCAGAACAAATGTCACAGGCAATGGTCTTCCATACCAGCTACTAAGTTTCACTGAATCTTCAGTCTCAGCTCGACTTCGTGACTACTGCTAGAACTTAACGTAAGAAAAAATCATCAATTCCATTCCAGGAGAGCAGAAAAGAACTCAAAGGTGAAATAACATCACATTGCAAGGCTTATACTAAGAAGTACAGGAAAAATGTCATTTATGGATAATATAAAAGTCTAATGAGAATGATTTTAAAAGATGCGCTACTCAGGGGCTCACGTATCTTTATATCTGAGGAGATTTAAGAATCAGGGAAGAAATGCAGTTTCTTCTCTATGAAATCATTTACACATTAGTTCTCTCAACAACTGTGGACGCTACCTAAAAGTGTCCTCTAGTTCCTTAAAAACACTCATGTTGGCAGCCTTAGCACAAATTGCCTGCTGATGTTTGTTGAACTCTGAATAGCATTTACTCTAAAAACACAAGGACCAAACACATTTGCACTTAGCCTGTGGACATTCATTATCTACTAACTGCAAACTCAGATCTCAAAAGACTACAGCCCTGGCATGCTCATCACACCTTACCTAACAGAAGAAAAACCACCTCAAGTCTTGCAGCTGTGGTCTTCACATGAGCATCCCCATCCATGTGAATAGCAATGAACTTATGAGAAAGTCCAAACAGTGATTATTTGCTGACATGGTTCAGCTTGAGCCACACTACCTTCAACCTCTTTCATTAAAGATGGAAGAAAATTCATGTCTATGGCACACAGCTTCTGACAGTGGTGATATTCAAAAGTTTACCTGCTATTATTAGTGACAGGAGTTTTCATAATCGCTTGCAGTAAGTCTTTGCATTTACTAATGAGGCAACCAAAAACCTTTATTTCTCTATACGTGGCTAGTAAATAAACCCACTTCTGTATATCACTGTATAAAAGTATAAAAGTATAAACCCCAAGTTTTAGCACAATGTTGCAATTATGTTTCTGTAAAATATTTACACCCTCTGTGAAAAAAAGCTCAGAAGTTCAAGAACTGACTGCATTTGAGCACTTGAACAAACAACTTGGTCTTAGGCTACTCAACTCGAGTGCATTGGCTTAACTTTGAACATATGGAAGGAAGTATGCTAGGAGAAAAAAAGCTTTTGCTATTTAAATGAAATGCTTGCTTGTAATGAAATGTTTGTGAGTAAGTCCAATTTAACAACCAATAGTTGTTAGTTGTTCAAACAAACAAGAAACAGAATTGTTTATTCCTTCAGAAGAGGGCACAGCTTCTAGTTTAGAGCAGCACCCCGAGCTGGAGAGACTGCCCCACCGAAGGGAGGATCCCCCTTCTCTTTACCGTGGCAGCAGCTCGGCCTCCCCGTGCCCGAGCCAGCTCGGCAGCCGCAGGGCACGAGCGAACACTACACCCGACCAAGCCGAAAGAGCACGAGCTATCCCAAACCAAGAGTGAACAGCACTCCCGATACCATTTCCACAGGATCACACGCACCTTTTACCCCACATTCTCCACGCTCCATCTTTCCCTCCCAGCTGAAGCGCTGCAGGCCCGGACCGGCACCCCCGCCTCAGTCGGGCATCACACCCCCACGCCGTGCCGGGGCCTCTGTCCGCCGTCCCCGCTCCCGGGGGTGCCCCAACCCCCTCCAGCTCAGCCCCCCGGAGCCGCCCCTCGCCTTGGTGCCGCTCACCGTGTCTTTATCGGGGCGCTTCTTCGCTCCCTCCATGGCTGTGGCCCGGCGGCGTGCGGCGGCCCGGGCGCTGCCCGCCAGCCGGCCGTGACGCGGCGCGCGCGGGCGGCGGTAACGGAGGCGGCGGCGGCCATGGCGGGACCGGCGGGGCCAGGCCGGGGAAGGGCCGGAGCTGCGGCCTGCGGGCGGGGACGGGAGGGGAGGGGACAGCCCTGCCCTGCTTCTGCCAGCGCAGTCCGGCTTAGTGACCTGCTCTCCCTGCGAAGGTCACCGCTCTGCCCCATGTCCGGCCCGTTTTACATTGGTAATAGTAATTACTATATGGCAGCAGGTTTACTATATGGTCGTGCAGGTTTAGCTCTGGCCTTCTGTCCCTGATAGTGAAACGGTAAACGGGAAGGGGAAGAAGAGACACAAATTAAGATGGACTGAATGATATGCCATAGGAAAATTTTAGATTTAATTTTTTTTTTTCTTTAAATAGCAGGTGGGTACTCCAGATGGCAGCTAATAGCGATTTCGATGGGAGCTGTTACCCTTGCTCAGTGCTGATAGCTATATAAATATTTCCTCTCTCCTTGAAGCCATGAATTCAGAAATTACATTTGTGAGGATCAGTTCTGCCACCTAATTAGGGACGAAAAAATGTTTTTAATTTAACTTCAATGGTGTAATTTTCATTATTATTAATTGTCGTATTTCATTATCAAACAATTTCTTGTCTGTCTGATTAATGAAGAAGTGTGACTTGTTTTTTATTAAATCAGAAGCATTTTCATCCTTGTTAACATGGGCAATTTTATCTGTGCAATTTTTTAAATTTATGTGTGTGCTTCTGAATCAGTCCATTTTTCTGTTTAGAAGAATGTGGAAATAGCATGAATGTTTAAATTGCACTAACACTGCTACAAAATTCATGTGTTCTTCCCCTGCTCCCCTCCAAGGATCTTGCTGGTTGTAAGGACTGATGTTCTTAGTTTACTTGAAGTAGCATCAGTTCCTCTGCAAGCTCAGAGATTAGGCAGACCATTAATAGATAAAGTGGGATATTTTGCTTCAGTCTATCTTGTCATGGTTTCAGTAGCTATAACCATTCTGAAATACACCCTCCTGACCTTATGAAAACAGAGCAATGCTTTCCCTCCGTTTTACAAAGGTAGTTCTGGTTGAGACTTCCTTTCATCACGTGCCTAGATGAAACTTGCATTGCAAACCCAAACAGCTTGTTTACAGATGCCATATTACTGTCTGTGTAGCTGTGCTTATGGGTATGTTTTAATAATGTTTTTTGTTCTCATGTACTTTCTTGATACAAGGATTCTTTCTATGTGTGTGTGTGTTTGTGTTTGTCCTAGATGGCGTTGCCAGACTCGATCACTACTTGCCTTTCTCAACCTGTGCATTATGCGATTTGCAAACTTGGATTTGAGAAGAAAGACAACTATGATATTAATAATGTTTTATCTGGAAATGGGGAAGTATGTTGGCAAGCTGTTACAGAACATGTGTGTTACCTTGAATCAGGTTGGTGTTTACCTGCTGTAGTAGTGATGCATTTAAGACTGATGCAGAATTTCAGTACAGTTCATAACAATCCTAGCTGAGTTGTGACAGTTTGTTACAGGACTGCATTAGCTCTGCAGATTATCGTATGCAGAGTTCATATCTACAGAGAGCTTTACATTTTTCATCTGCATTTGGTATTTGGCTTTTGCTGGCTCCTAAGGTTTGTGTAATCTGTGCTACCTAAGTAGCTCCTACTTTGCCTTCATCTTGGTTCCCAGCTTAATGTCCCTGTAACGTAAGGGGTTCAGTTCTGCTTCACTCCAACCCCATCATTGCCTTGTTCTGTGTTCTTTATATTCCTTTTGCAGTAAATTTAAACGCCTTAGAATATCAATATTCCTACTGTTGCTTCTGTTTATGTTTCCAGCTTTAGGTGGTACAGAAGTATGGTCTTGTTTCCCTTCTATGTGGAATAGTTTGTAGTTGTTTTTTAACCAAAACAAAGTATTTATGATGAATTAATTGAGTTTTAATTTACCAGACTGCATCATGCAAGCTCTGTTTTTAATTTCCAGGGGTGGTAAAAGTATCTTTCAGTAAGCCAGAAGAATTTTTTTTCTTATATAAAGTGTTCACGAAAAAGGAGCAGTGATACCACTCTGTACGGTACCATATCCATCTGCCTTCTTTAAAGGCTGTACGTGGTGCAATTTGATTCCTGCTGAGCCTGCACTAGCTTCCAGCTTGATATATGGAACTTCTATAGAAATTCTAGTAGGTTCTTCACATTTCAACAAAAGCAGAACATAATGATGCTATTCACTTCCATATTTTCTTGTGTTAAGTTTTTGTTGGGGTAGAATTTTTGGTTTGTTTTTTTTTTGTTTTATTCAGAGAAAGTGCTTGATCCTACCTGGTTTTGCATTACAGTTTTACTTTTCAATACCTTTTCTGTGTGGTGTTTTGGACAGTAAATTGTATTGTATTGATTGTGCTAAAATAGTCAGGATAAAATTGTCTGTGCTAAATATGTGCACAAACCGTATCAGGTTTTATCCCTAGTGAGTTTTAAAATAGTAGACCTTCAGGAAGGCTGGTATCCTAATAATCTTCGATTTTTCAATTTAAGATGAAAGTGTGGATTATATCAAAAGCATACGATCTTTAGGACCTGTCTGCGAATCTGTTAATTTGTACTTCAAATCTCTGAGCAAGGAGCAATTTGTAATTCAGTATGCATCGTGGTTCCACTGGACTAACTGCACAGAGGTATGGAAATTTCTGTTAACAGTTTGTATTTTGGCACCTGAACACTTTGTGGAAGTTTAATGTGAGAACACAAAAGAGATATCCATGAACCAAAATGCTTAGGATTTGTAACTAATTGTTCTTCTCTGATAGATGGTTGCTTGTTATTTTTCTGAGTTTATAATTAGATTTTGTATTGGACAGCATGAGGAACTTTGTGTCTGTTCTAACAGTTTGTAGGATTTTGTTTTTCTAATAATCTGTGCCTAATACCAAGTTTTACCTGGTAAAGTTATTATTGATAATTTTAAAGATGTAAGGCAGTAGATATCAAGAGGTACTCTGGGGAAATTTCTCTCCGGGCATCTACATTTTCATTTCTTTGGCATGGTTTTCTTTCTACATTTGTATAGCAACTATGGAGGAATATTTAGGTTTCTCTGTGCTTTTGGCAATGTGATCTTTCCTTTTGAATATTGAACACAGCATTCTTTCTCTCCCCCATCATGCAGGTATTTCTTGAAGTGTTTGATGTTTTACAATGTACACAAACTACAGAAATTGCTCTTGGCTTAATGAAACTAACATCCTGCTTGGAGCGAGCCTTGGGTGACGTAAGTGCCAGCATGAGGAATCTATCTCAGATTTGGGCTTTATGAGATGGGAATGAGCTCTTGGATTTAATTGTGCATTGAAAAAAGTGATATTACCCTGTACTGTAGTAGTACACTAATAGCCCACAGGGATTTTGAGTTGGACAGAGGTTCTTTCATGGATCCAGTTGTGCTAATGGAAACATATGTGCTTGTGCTTGTAGAGTTGCTTTGTGAGTACAGTTGCTAACAAATTTAATTAGGAAAGAGGAGTTTGATTAATCAGTGTGCATGTAGCAGGTCTTTCTTAGTTTGATTTATTTAACTGAAGTGGGGCAGCAAAGCTTCAACAGAAGATCTGATGGTGTATTAACTTCTGTGAGGGGTGGCATGCAGATGTAAAAAAGGGCTGCTGGGTAACTTCTTTTTTAGGGAGAAGGGAGAAATAGCTATTTAAACAGCTTTTGCTGCTGGGCTGTTTTACAGACATGTAAGTTAAAATGGCCGGTTGTTCAGTATCTATGAGGAGTTCTGGAGAAGGAAATGACAGAGAAAGAGCAATGGGCGAACTCACAAACCAGTTTGCCCAAGTGTGGGGTGTGGTAAATTCTGCAGTAAAACAAATCACCAAAGATTGGAAAAAATGTCAGGGAGAGTACAAATGGAAGGTGTGATAGCAGTTGAAACTTGAGATGCTAAGATTGTCTATCAAGGATAAAATCTAGTTTAACAGTCTGAATCAGAACCACTAGTCTCCTCCCTTTCACAGTTACAGACCCTATACATTTCTATTGTAAGAACAAAATACACTGTCCTTGGTAGAGCTTATTCCCTTAATTACATGTTCTTGTTGTGCCTTATTGGTTTTTGTGGTATTTTTTGGAAGAGAAAAGCAGTATATATACAGACCCTGTGTGAAAAGGGGTGAAAGACTAACTATGGTCACATTAAGTAAAATATCCACTCTTTCCTGATATGTTGTCTAAATTTTAATTTGTCATGAAATTACAGAATTTAAAGCCTTTTTAAAGATTTGGTAGGTTTTGTTTGAGTAGTGTTTTTTACAATAATGAAAATTATTATTGGGTAAAATAGTCAAGGTATATGTTTGAAATACATAGAAGGATACTAAATTATTTATCATCTGTTCTTCTCTGCTCGTTTTTTGATAATAGGTGTATTTACTTAAGGGCAATGATTGTCCTTTCCTTCTAAGAGACTTGCTTGCATCTGAGCAGCTTGCAGATGTCTTTGGACAAGCCGTAGTAAGTACATAGTTTTGAAATAAAGAATAACTACTGAGCTGGTTTTCTTCCTATCAAATGTACCTTATGTTAATTTGCATTAAATTACACTGAATTTATACTACAAGAAGTAAGAGCTAAATTTGATTTCATTTGTTTGCCTGTCATAACTGTTTGAGATGTCTAATAAGTAGTTTGATTCTTCCCATATTATATTCTATATCCTGTACAAATGAACTGAAAGAGTCTCCTTCAGAGAATAATGGGAATTGCAAATAATGAGTTTATTACTTTGACAAGTGGTGGCCAGTCAGCTTGACAGCAGACATTGTAGTTTCTCAAGAACTTCTGAATTTTTCTGCCAGGGAAAGGTCATAAAAGTAAGAAGAGTAAGAAAGGTGAAAAGTAATAGATTTTTTCATGCAGTAATTGCTTTGTTTATTGCTTAGATGAATGTACTGAGGGTATTCATTGGATCTCCACATGGTCTGAACCTTCGTAATGTTTTGTGGCACGGGTTTGCATCACCACAAGAAATTCCTGCCAAGTAAGTTACCAGGAAAAAAAACTCTCCTTTTCTTACCAGTTAGACTTTGTGAGCTCTTGAAAAGTGGTTAGTAACCACTTACTTCTCTTATTGGGAAAAAAAAAAAATTCCTTGCTACTTCTGCTTCTTTTGTAAATGGATTTCCATAGAATACTTCAGCCATTACAAAAATGGCCAGTATTAGGTCCCAGCGGGTTTTGTACTATTACGGAAAACAAGAAAGTTTAACTATTTTTTAAGGCAGGGCTGTGAGGAGTAACTTGGAACAAAAGACAGAGGAATTAACTCACAAATGTTGATTATTTGCAAAAGATTTCTTAGTATAAGCTTTTCTAATATATTGTGGTATTCTCCCTAGATACTGTGCTATGCTGCTTTTGTTAACTGCAGGATTGGGTCAGTTGTTGCAGACTTATCTTCTGCAAACTAAGGGTGTTTTAGTGCATCGACCTTATGTGATCTTCATTAGCTTAGAGGAACTTGATGCATTTCCAGGCAAGTATTTAATCACTAGCAAGTTTTTTACTATCCTGTATTTGCTATTGTTTCCTTGTCCAAAAGTGCTGTTGAAAAGAATGCATTTTCCAGAGTTCCAAGATTAAGTCTTACCTGTACACACCATCATTAGATGAACTAATCATGCTTATAGGGCAACTTCTTAATATGTAGACAGTTCACTGACTATTGAGTAAAAAAACTACTGCATTCTAAAATAATTATAACACATTGAAACATGAAATATGGCTGCTTCTAAAAGACTTTAACTGCATGTTATATTTTTTTGATTATGAGAATTAATTTCATGTAACAGTCATCTAGTTTGCCTTTATGAAATCTAACTTTTTTCAGAATCAATGAGCTCCAGCTGCAAGGGTTCCAGCAGGAGTGCCCTGAGTCTTACAGGGAAGGTAGTGTTGAAACAGAGTAAAAGATGGTAACACATCTCCACTACACTAAATGCTTTTCTCAGGGAAGGATTTGAAGTGTCAGATTAAAATCTTCTCCCTGTCCACAGACCTTGTTTGGTTTATTCCTACTGTTTTAAGACAATTACAACATATGGGAAATCTTAGTGTCAGTGGTGATCATGGTCAATTTGTCAATGGAATATCTGTCCAAGAAATCGAAACAGGGCTTTTGGGAACCAAATCGAGCTGATAATATTTCAATAATTATGTAGTATAAATCCTATAGGTGTTGATTGGCTTTGAAAAAACACCTACTGCAATCTAGTTACACTTATCATTTTAAGCTTTCTCTTGGATAAGACATTTATAATGTGAATTTATGTGTGGGTTTCATTACATGGTAGCATTGAAGTATGAAGTGTTAATGCATTATGCTGTATTTTCAACACAGAAAATGGATAAAATAGGAGCAATGTGCTCATGTTCAAATATTCATACTACTGTACTGATTCTGGCTGAATAGAAATGATTCATTTTTATTATACTTGTTTAAAGGATCTGAAATAGGTAGAGAACTACTCAACAGAAGCTGGGTCCAGTTGCTATGCAGTCTTTCAATAAAAAGTAAACATTATTTTTTTAACTGGTTTTACTCTGTAATTTTATATTATCACCACTAATTCAATCTTACATATTTGAACTCTGATCTTAAATATGGCCACTGTTGTACTTGCATAGTTAAAATAAATTAGATAACTTTTAAAGCTTGCTTTGCAAATGTTGCAAAAATACTATATTTTCAGTGAAATATTTAAAATTCATTAGTAAAATATAGATTATATGTAATTTTTAAATGTTGGTTTTTTAACTTGCAGATCTTAATGATGAAATACTTTCCATAGCTGAAGAACTTGTAAAATTGTCCAGTTTTGTATTAAAAACAATGTTACCATTTTGGATCGCTGCTTTAACAGCTTTCAGGAATAGCAGGTAAGATATTTTAAAATTATTTTTTAAGAGAATCTAAAAAGAATTTATTCTGTGTTTTTATATCTGCATTTGCAGATTCCAAGGCTTCATACTAAATAACTTCGCAGCATATAGTTATGCTTTTTTATGGTGATCTCTTGGAAAGTTTGTTGAGTTATGGCTTTGTGTTGTGCCAGCTAAGATTATAAACTATATTTTGAAGCCCAAAAAGAGCTGTTGAAGATGTAGCAAAAAAGGAGAGAGTTTACAAAGCAAATGGAAATAAGTCTTCATATGTTAAATCACATATATTTTGTATTTTTTTAAAAAAGTGTATTGTTTTGTTTTCCTCTCACATGCTCCATCTTTTTGTGTGTTATTTGCATCTCTGAGCTTGAATTCAGCGGTCCATTTCTGTTTGGCACAGGTAGTCACTAATTGTTTGTTTACAAAATGCATTACAAAGGAATTTGGAAGGGTTATTTGGCCTGAGACTGTAACTCTGAAACCATTTCTATTTATAAGGAATTATATATATTTATATATCCACCCTTTGGATATCCTCATTACTTTTTCAGGTATGCTGACAGTGTGATTCTCTTACTTCCTCAGCTGGAAGTTGGACTTAGATTACTCTTCACTACAACTAATAAATGTCCAAATCGATTGCTAACAGCAGAGGTAAAATTTTGTCTAAAGTCAATTATGATTTCGTGCTCACAATATTTGCAAAATAGTTTTTCCAGAAGCATAGTGTCTATAACCATTTAAAGATTTACCCCACAAAATTTCAGTCAAGTTTGGAGCCTTATTTACAAATCTCCAGTGGAGATTCCTGAATTCCATTAGATTTTTTGAATGTCTGCCTCTGAAAAGGACTGAAAAAGTAGTGGAAGATAAATGTTCAGAAACAGTTGTTTGGGATGAAAAGCAGAACATGATCTATTTGTTTTTAAAAGCTTAGCACAAATCCCAAAGTCCCTTTTTTCATTCATAAGGGGACTTAAGTCATAAGCATAAGCTTAAGTCATAGCATAAGTTTGTGCTATACATGCGCCTCTGATATCTCATGCAGATGAATAAAAAAGTTTTATATACATGCCTAGTTAATTGATTTTGTTTGAAAACCAAATAATATTATTTGTATTTTGTTCTAGTCTTCTGCGTTCTACACCACTTTTGATGAGGTACTGTGATTTTTTTTTAATATAAATCGGTGTCAGAATTTAAACCACTAATGTTTCCTATTACTGGATTTAAGGATGCACTTTCTTTTGTTGAATATGGCATTATTTATAACTTTTTTTCCAAATAAAAGAACAGCAAGCACTTCAAATTTGGAATACTCCAGAAAATATCAAAATTGATACAAATTGTAATGAACAGACTGGGTTTTTTCTAAATATTTTTGTCTTGAAATTCATCACTCCGCAGAAATAAACATTCTGCTATTTTTCCTAGATTCAGTTAGTCAAAATAAATACAAATAAATATTGCCAGCATAAATCCTAAGTTTTACAAACTGATTGGGTTATTTCAAGTTCTTTGTCAGTAATAATTAGGCATCTTGATTTTAAAGTGGCAGAAGCAATCACATCAGTTTATGAAAACTACTTTAGTTGGTGTTTCTTCATGATTATATAGTCTTCAATAATTTAATAAGTTTCTATTCAAATCTTTTTTTGTTTCCAGATGTTAGCAAAACATTTGGATAATGAAGAAGTCAACCAGCTACCTGTAGTTCTTGAGGAGCCTGCCATGGAAAGTGTTTTGAAAGTGTTCTAGATTTTTGTCACCATTGTCTTTTGTTTGTTTGTTTCACTTTATGATATGCCTTATACTCACTTATTTCATATGAGCATGCCTCATACAGGGAAATTTCAAACTTATTTCTGAGTACTTTTAGGACACATCTTGCACTATCTGGGCAGATAGAACAAAAATGTGGCTCAAATTTACCAGAGCACATTCTGCATCTTACTACCCAAACAGATTTTGAACAGGAAAAGTTTGGGTGCTCAGTTTAGAGGTTTTTGGAGAGTTAGCAGAGATCTGGGGTTACAGTGCTGTGCCAGAGGCATTGGGGCTGTGAAGAGCCTGGGACACAAAGCTGAAGGGAATCTGTTGTTAGCTGTCACAGTGTAGAATGTATGTTACAAGTACAGTTTGCACTGGGTTTTTTTCTGAATACCTGAACACCCCTATCCTATAGACATGATTGCACACTTGTCTTTCAGAGATATTCTATCCACTGATATATTCAATCCTGTATGGGTACACATAGAATAGAATTCTATATAGTTGGTGTATGTTTCCACAGGACTTCCTTTGGGATTTCTTGAACCACCAGGAAGGCCCACGTATAAGAGATCGTTTAAGCCATGGAGAGATAAATCTAGAAACATTTCCCAGAGAAGTAGCTAATCAGATAATTGGATTTGCTATTACTATTCTCTGCAGATTCTCAGATGAGGATATGTATTCTTTTAAGGTAGGGACCAATATTTTGTTCTCCAAAGATTTTTTTTCAGTTATTTTGGATACGACTTTAGAGAGTTTTATGACTGAATCCTTCTTGGCAGCTGCTTTTTGTGCAAATGAAATATTGCTCCAAGTAAAAAATTGTGAAGGTATGTTTTTGCCTAGTTTTGCAGTGAAGTAAGTATAGAAAGTTTTCCAAAATGTTATCCTTTCTTGCTGTACCTGAATTTGTTGGCTTAACCAGTCCTAATTCAAAAGGTTGATCGGTAAACTATAAGGATTCCACTTAATTTTGTCAAATTGTATTTATGAACTAGCCTGTTTATCTGCAGAATTATATGCAAGGTATGTGGAACATCTGTAGCTCACCCACTGAGGTATGTAGTGTGTAGTTATCGAGATTTTCTTTTCCTGAGACACTGTAAATAATAGTGCATTGCTAATGGAAGTGTTATTTGTCTCTGTACTTACATTATGAATTTGCAAACAATTTTTGCCTAGCGCTATATTTCTCAACATTAGCAATTATTGTGTTTGCTCTCCCCAGTTTCCTGTTTATATTTGGAATTGTGTCTTTCAATATCACACAGCAACCTGTGAGATAAATCTCCCATTTATTAGTTGCAGGTCTTTTTTTGTTTCTCAAGATCTATTGTGTGCTGCTGCGTGAAGAGAATACTTGGTTACTTTTCTGTCAGCTGCTGTCAGATTTCATAGTTAAAAGATGTGAAATTAAGCTTTAACCACTCACCGTGCTGATTGCTTCTTTCAGCCCTTAGACATTTGGGAGTGTTTATTGACATCAGTGCTATAGGTGTCATGCATAAAATGAAGTATAAGTCTAAGTCTGCATATGATTAGGACAGAGAAACTGTTGTGTATTGTCTGTCATCTTGTAAATCAGGAACACATGGTCCTAAAACCACTGATGAACTGTGCAAGCTGCTACCGATCTCGATTTCATCCAATTTCCCGACTCAAGAAACAGGTAGGTACTTCCATCAGTGAAAGCATTGTGGTCCTTAAAATTGTGAATCGGCATAATTGCCTAGTTATTTTCTTCATGCTGTGATTGTCCTAAAAAAAATTCAAATCTTACTTTTTTTTGGTTTATTTATCAAAACCTGAAGGAAATCACAGTTGCAATTGATGCCTGTTAATGCAATTGATACCATTCTAGATCACTAAATAGCTTTATTCTTACCTGAGTGTTTGCTTTTCTGTAGTTTTCCTAATCTCCTTATGCTTTTTTATGTCAGGAACACTGCTAGGTCCTGTCTCCAGGAATCTTGGATTAGGTTGTTACTGAGTTTTTTACTGTATGAAGGCCAGCTGATTAAGATTCTGTCATGGTAGAAAAATCTGCTTTCTAATGTCATAGTAGTTCTCTGCCAATCAGCTTAATGAACTGCTTGAGGATATTTCTCTATTGATTAGAGATTGCAGTAGACGTACTTCGTTCTTTTACTTTTCAACAGCATTCAAACAGTGTGTTACAAAAGTAATATTTTTTTTTTATATTAAAAAACCCCATAGAGTATTAAATTAGTTCATTCAGATAATGTTTTAGCATGGAAGTGTACATCCAGACTTTTTGCCCTAACCTAAACCTTAACAAGTGAAGTTGGCTTACACAATTATGACTAGTGAATAAATAACTTACCGCCTGTTCTGGTTTTTTTTCTCCTAAATGGGCCACTAAGAAGCATGTCAAAGTCTGTACTTTACAAAACATTTTTCATTATATGTTTTTGAGGTGCTGGAATGTATGAAGAGCATCCAGTTATGGCCTGAATTGCCAATAGTGCCTGAGGAGCAAGTAGAAAAAATTGAACGGTATGTATGTGCTTATAAGATCACCAGATATAAAACAGCAAATAATTCCTTGTTCTGAAAAGGACTTGGTAACCAGTGGGAAACTTTATATGAGATATTAGCTGGAAAAAGAATTGTTATTTCAAAAGGAAGAAGTCATTAATAATATCACTGGAGGATATTGTACTTGTTTAGAGCTGAGAGAAGAAAATTTAATGCATCTCTCATATAATCAGTATACTGTAGGCTTTTTACAAGTGGAGAATTAAGAGGGGTTCTGAAGATTGCTGACACTGAAAAAACGTTGCTTTAGCTGGAGAAAGAAAATCATGCTTGTAAGGTAGAGGGGAAAGAAATTTATTAGAGTGTTAGAGTGGACACTGAATACACTGCTATCAAAAAAAATCTGCACCTTCATCTATGCCATTTAAGAAATAATGAGTACTAAACAATTTTATAATCTCAAATCTTTTTTTTTCTCTTCTGTTTTTAAGGTTGGAAGCAAATGCTGAAGCTGATACTTTAATTTTGATGATATCTGAAATTATATCTCAGTTGCAGCATTATATGCCCCAGGATTTCTGCAGTTCAGATGATCCTATCAATAGTGTCCTAACAGAGAGGTGAGTTTGATGCCCTCCTGGTTCGTGCTGTCAGCTTCTACTTGCAGCCCAATGTAAGAACTCTCAAACCTAAGTTATCCTGTCCGTGTTTCCAGAGAAATGCTTGAAATGTTGTATGCACTTTTGTAATGTTGTTGCTGATTTAATCTGAAAATTTTAGGATGGCAGCTGAACATTATCTTCAAAATAAGGATGAGACATTGTACATTTTGGAATTACAGTAGAGATTTTACTTGGAAATTAGCCTGAAAAAGTAACTTTTATTTTTTTCTCAGACCACAAAAGCAAAATATTTTAAATATTTGTGTACTTACTAGATTAGGTTGTCCCTAGTCTGGTTTGTAGTAAAACTTATTCAGAAAATTATTTTAATGTGCTTGGTGTCACAGGCATTCAAAATGTGTGTGGCATTCAAAATGGCAATATACTGCTATTTAATTCTATTCTTCCTGCTTTAATATCAAGATTCAGAAAGAGACAGTATCTTGTTATACTTGGTGTCAGACTTGGAGGTATGTTAGTTCCAATTATGTCTGACTTGGTATTATGATCAAAATAATTTGACTTTTAATTGCCACTCTTAGAGCAGCCGTAAGAGTCCCACGACTGAATGAATATATTGGAACAGAACACTGCTAATCAAACTATTAGGCGTGGGCAGCATAGAGAAAAGAGGATTCTACCTGTTGCTTTACTTATGTAACATGTGGGTCTCCTGCTTCCTACCCACAAATCTGCAAATTTATCATCTGGAAGAAAGAAACCAAATTATTGATGTGTTAAACCTTATTCTTAGAGTTTTCCGCTTTTATCATTTGAAATCATTAGTATTTTGCTATCTTAGGGATAAACTGAGCATGAGGGAGATTAAGAAACACTTCTGTAAGAGCAGAGTGTTTAAAGTGATGTGTGACACATTAGTGTGGCAGATATGACAGCAGGAAGATATTTGTGTGCTTTAACAAAGCATGAGCTGGTGTGGTGTTGATTTAAAAAATGGCCTCACCACCTGCATTTTACGCAATGTTAAGTCTGCTTCTTATTCTGCCCAGAAGAAAGACCACACACTAATGGTAGTACTAATTAATAGCATTTGTTTCACTGAGTTTTATTATGGTGGATGTTAATTCATTGTGAGTTGAGCTATGGTGGGAGGCTTCAACCACAGCCCTGCTGTGATTTGATGTGTTCAGTGTATAATTTCAGCCAGGCAGTTTTGTTTATTGTGGTTGTGTTTCTTTGATCTGAAATGGGAAACATATTCATCATAATCACTTTCGCATTTATATTCAATAAAGTGATAGAAAACACAATCACTACTCCTGATACACAGATCTTTGCTTTCTTTCAGTCATGAGGTAAGGGCAGTTTGTTTCCAGGCTTCCTGAATTAAAACATCATGAGTCAAACCTCACCTTAATACGAAATGTATCCTATGTTAAATTCAGCTAACAAAAGATTGACGTTAAAAATCCGTTGCTGTTTTGGAGGCTGCTGGTGGAACTCTGTGATACACGCATTTGCACGCTGTATTCCCCGCGACCTGTCCTGGAAGCAGTGGCGGTGCTCCGCAGAATAAGCGCGCAGTGCCATCAAGTGTCCCAGCAGGTTATTGCGGGCGCTGGGCTGAGATACACGCAGTGGGTCAACAAGACTCTGCGTTCTCGCCAGAGGCACAACTATCGGCGGATGCTGAACAGGTTGGCTGCTGGTTTTGCTTTACTCTGTGGTTAGGTTTATGAGAGAATGGCTGCACGCTGCTGTTGCTGCCTTTCAGTGGCTTCACTTGGAAGTTTAAAGTCAACAGCACGTGTTCTTGTTGATCATTTCGGTCAAGTGTCAACCAGGCTTCTTTTAAATAGCAATATTGAAATAACAAGAAAATCTCAAATTGGAGAATAATTTAAAGGGCATTGCTAGATTATGTCACTGTAAATTACAATATTCCAAATTAAGTATTACTTGAATGTTAGATTGTTATATTTTTTTTAATTTCTGGCTTTTCCTATTTAGGTATATAAATGCCATTCAGGTTTATCTGACTGTAGTAGTTTTAACTGATCTGAAGGTTTTATCCATTTTAGTTTACTGCTTTTTATCATTACACCTGAATCAGTCTCCTTATAGATAGATTTTAATATTCCATTAATTTTTTCCTAATCATAGGGGCATTCCAGAATTTTATAAATATTGTGTTACTGGCAAGGTTATGTTCCTGAAATTGTTAACCATATTATTTAAGAGACATAGCTTAAACTGACAACTGATGATAGACATTTGTGATTCAGTTGAACTGTAGTTTATTATCTATGGATTAATGGGAACTTGAGAGTTTTTCTTTGGAATCTCAGATATTTGCCTTCTTTTCCTCCCCCGTTTTCAGTTTATAATCTCTGTTTACTTTTCTGGGATTTGCACTGCTTTTTGCTGAAGGACATTTCATAGTCTTTTTTGTCCCCTGACTTTGCAATGTCCAGCAATTTAGAGTGGTGCGGAAGTCTTAATATATTTTTATTTAATACTAATGATTTCCTTTTAATTTGGTTTTACTTTGTTTATTTAAGTATTTTTATTTTATTTCTAGCATTAAATTTTTGTCTCCAGTATTGCGGCTCATCTTACTATTGATTACTCTGGAACTAGTCAGTGTTCATTCAGTTTGTAAGAAGAATCCTTTTGATTATCAGCAGTATCTAAAGTGAGTACATAAATTTACTTCATGAAAATAGGAATTGCCCCAGAATTCCTTTTTGATCTGTACTGTAGAGATTTTTTATCATTATGGCCATAATTTTATCTTGGACAGTGTTCACTCAGGAGCTAAAATAACTTTGTTGAAGTGTAGATAGGGAATGTTAATACATACAAGTTGCATTTAATATGTTGTTGACTTTACTCCTTGTATGTTAATTAACAGCTGGTTGGATATCACATACATTGCAAAACATTTGACCAAGAAAGCAAAGGAAGCCATTTGGGGAAAACTCTTATCACACATTTGGTCACTGTATTCTTTCTATGGTGTTGTTAATTGCAGTTCTGAAGATCTTCCCATCTTACTGTGAGAGGGATGGAGTGGTTCTCCAAAAGTAGAGCAAACCTTAATGTATTGTTCATCCAATCCTCCTGAGGGAGATTTGGAAACTTGAAGATGCTTTAAGTCAGGCATTGCAATATTCTTCTCTTTTTTTTTTTTTTCCTTCTTTTTAGATCCTTAAAAGAGTTTTTCTTTAATGTCATTTCTCGTAGGTTTTTGAAGTCAGTCTTGCAGTACACTGAGAACTTGGTGACATATACAAGCCCTGAGAAAAACAAGTGGGATGAAACCATGGAACTTACAAAGAAGACTTTGATAAAAATAAGGAAAATCAGTGACAGAAAGCTAATGTTAATGCATCTAGCTACGTGAACTAAATGGGCTTATGATTGGATATTGTTATATCTAAACAGTTACAGCGACCTCATATTTGATAAATCTAATTCAAAGACAAACTTCATAAGTCATTATCAAATTTTGGATGCAAAATTTACTCCTTTTATCAGAAGGTTGCTGCTGATACTGGAGATGAATGATCAAGCTTCCAGAGAATGGGTTATTTGTCAAATCCACTGAAAAAGTTTTACTGTGAACTAAATCAGGATGATACAAATTCTACTATAAATATATCTTGTGTTTTGTACATTGATTTTTTAATATTTTTTTTCATTTCCTACTGTACTGAAAAATACCTCAAAAAATGTGAATAAAAGCTCTGGAAATTTTAAAATCAAAAAAGTAATTTTTTACTTTGGAATATATCAGCTGTTATGTCAGAGACTGTGATCAACTGGTTAAGAAATGAAGAACTTTCAACTTAAAATAGTGCTCATTGGCATCTGTGGTTGTTGTTAGTTGTAAACAGTCTGATCTTGCTCTGAATTCTGAGGCAGAGCTGGTAACACAGTAACCAGTTGTTTATAGATGAGGATTTAAAGGAGACAGGATGGATATTTCTGCAGAAGAATGCTTCTGCACAGTATGTGTTTGTTTTGTTTCATTTCATCTGCTCATTCCAATACATATTTAGTTAAATTCTTACAGTATGAATATGAACATGCATATGCATGTGCTTACAGACATGAATTCACTGTGGTTTAGAAAGTTATCCTCTTATTACACACAATATTAATTTGAATATTTTAGTTTTTCAAAATAATTTTACCCCTTTTTCATCACTGAAGAGTAGAACTTCACAGGAATGCATGGGTTGAAGAACAGATTTACAGAAGACCACCAGTGTCTCTGCCTTTGCTTTCTCCTATGGAGAGCAAAACCAGAGGGTAATTTCTGGAGAATGTTTGGCTCTACAAGGGATTACATTTTAATAAGCTTCTTTGCAATGTTTCTTGACTGCAAATCACAGCTAGAGTATTACTAGTTTGGTTTATTCAGTGTGGGGGATGGATATAAACTAAGATCATATTACTTCCTTTGTGCTACTCTTGAAATATATTGTGTGTGTTTGAAATTTAGCTTTGTCACCTCCCAAAGATTCTTTTGTTGTCATGAAACTTAATTATGTGAAGAAGTTTGAACTAGATAAAATAGATGAAATCTAGAAATAGAAAATAATTAGTCTAATGTAGTGTATATGCCACAGTCTAAAAGTTCAGCTTTTTAAAACCTGAGTCATCGGATCCTAATTATAATTTTGGAGGCTTATTTTATACACATTGACTTTGCTCAGATATATTAAGTTCTACTAAGTTTGTCTTGGTAGTGATGTTTATGATGACACTTACCTTGATGGTGATAAGTATTCTAAGACAAAAATAATTTAAGTTTTATATATTCATTGTAAGAAAAAGATCAAGAAATTACCACACAGTCATGTTTTGAAAGTACATAAATGGCTGGCACACTTTCTCCTTTTGAAAGTGCATTCAAATACTAAAAAGCACCTTACAGACTACAGCAGTGTATTTTCAACAACGTAATTCTCCTTTTGTTGCTATATTTAAACTTTGGTAAAATGATCTTGCATTCTGTTCACTTCATTTGCTTTTACCTAAGATGCAGCACACTGACAGTTTCTTCTTTCCTAATTAGTGCCACAGATGTGATTTGCTGCTCTAAGTTTGTGGTAAGAAGCATGAAGGATTTCTGGCAATTCTGTCAAAGATGCTTTTTCAGTTTGTTTTCCTACCTCTGAAGCTCTCTGATGGGAACACTGCTACCATCTATTGTTAAACAAATCTGAAACAGGCTGGGACAATCCAGTTATTTATTCGGACTTAATGCTGTCATTTACCAGAAGGGCTTATGCATGCAGGGCTTATGGCTTATGACAGCCCTGCATGTCATTTGCATGCAGGGCTTACGGACTTTTCCTGCTGTTAAAAGACTTGTGGAATAGAGCTGTAAAATAAGTGTATATCCTACAATTCACATTGAAGAACAAATGGGAAGAGATGTTGTAGAGGTCATTTGGTTTGTCCTTTATGAGTTACTTACTTTTCCACTTCAGTTATGCATCTTTGCCATCTCTTTAGAATCACTTTTAAGATATAACAAAGAGTCCAAACTCCAAACATCCAGCATTCCTGAGAGCAAAAGAAGCTTGGAATAACTATGTATTTAGATATATCTAGAATTGTAGCAAAAAATGTTTTCTTCCAAGTTTGGTATTTCATCCAAGTATAACTTGAATCTGATTTAATTGTTGGCCGTGCTCCCCAGGGTCTGTTTTCTTTGAGGTATTCACTCAGTAAATCTATATACACACAGATTTGGAAAGTGCAGCACACCATGAGGAAAAGTGTTGAATTACTTTGTTTACCTGGATAATGCTATTGAGGGAGTGATGATTCTTAAGACAGCCAGTCCAAGTCCAATTAGTCAATTTATCACAGTATCACAGAATATGCCAAGTTTCAAACAAATTGATAGCAAGTTGGAAGGGACCCACAAGAATAATCGAGCCTGAATCCTGGCCTTGCAGAGAACCAACTCCAGGAGTCACACCATGTGCCCAAGAGCACTGTCCAAATGCTTCTTGAACTCTGTCAGGCTGGTTCTGTGACCACTTCCCTGGGGAGCTTGTTCTAGTGCCCAAAAACCTTCTGGATGGAGAATATTTTTCTAACATCCAGCCTAAACCTCTCCTGATATAACTTCAAGCCATTTCAACGTTTGTGATTTTTGGTACCTTCTAGGGAGCATCAGGATCAACTACAAGTTCGCTAAGGTCAGCATTGCACAAGTACAATGAAATATCTGTTATGGTTACGCATCTGTGTGTGAAAACAAAGCTTGTTCTTTATGTTCTTTGAATCATTCTCTAGTTTGTTCTCTCCTCAGTGGCGATGGGAAGGGTTAGAATCAGAACCATGTGTTCTTATTCAAATGTAACACCAGCAACTTTAAGTAATTAAAACCTTTTTGGGGTTGTCATCACTACTGCATTATACAGAAACGTTTACGTAAGAGACAGAGCAACAAATTTGATTTACTTTATCTTTTAATACATCCCATCTAGCGGTTTTCAAGCAGCATGATGGCCTTTGAAGTGAACACATGGTGGCAGTGTTTGGTAATTCAAAATAGCATTCCATGCTGACATTCACTTTCTTATCTCTTTCCTTAGGATGCATATAAAAAAAATTAAGTTTTCTTCTGATTTCATCAGTTTTGTTCATATGTGTCTTTAATTGTGTCATCTGTAGAAACTTGTTTTCTCATTTGTTTAAGATTACTATTGAAGAAATTGAATGTGTCTGGAAAAAAATTTTGCATTTTAATAGTTAAGTAGAGGTTCATCACATTTTTCACACTACTTGCTGAAGACTTTTGGGATTTGTCAGAAGTCCATTAGCTGCCCCTCTTCTTACGTAGTTTAAAATAATGAGTTCTTCAAATTTAATAAATAATAAAATACTGTTTTTTACAAAAGGTAAGTATTGATATTTCTAAAAGAAAAATTTTCAGATTGTCATTTGTTAATTGCTATGAGACCACCAAAATAGTTTTTCTCAAAACCAATATATATCTTTTGAACAAAAATCATAATTGTCAAGAAATATGTTTATTGAGAAAATTTCACTACAGTCTCAGCCTTATTGCTGTGGTAATGATTTTTCAGTCTCTGTTGAAACTGAAATGTGTTATTCATATGCTGCCTTGTGAAGAGGAGCTAGTTGAGCATTGCTAGTTGGGTGGCCTTTGAAAACCTTGTCCACAGTAGCAATTTCAAACCATGCAGAGAGGTTGTAGTTAGAAAAGATTTTCATACACATGAAGTGATTTTTGTACACTGTGAAATCTTGTGTAGAAATGTTGAAACATCCCCAGCAGAGCTTGTTTTTGCCTTACACTACATGAGTGCATCTGGTCCATGTGTGGTGTATCACCTTTTTTTCATAAATCGGTCTACAGATGCGGAGCAGATTCCTGGCTGGTGTAAACTATTCCTGTTCCATCTTCTTTGGGGCAGATCCTTTACTCTGGTAAGGATCCTCCCCACACTGTTTCAGTGCTCCTTGAAGGGAGCTGGTTTCTAGCTGTAGATCTTTTTCAGGCTTGTGTATTTTCAGGGGACTGAAAGAAAGAGCCACGTAGTTCAGATAAAATTGCTGTATAGCAAATCCTCATTAATTTAGAGGCTTACATTGCAGGGGAGTGAGGATTGTGTGTGGGACTTCACAGCTACAAACCAAATACTAGATTCTTTAATATCTTTGTGTTCCTGGAAGAACTTTGCTTAGAGTATAAATTAGTATTCTTTTTGGGGCAGCACTATAAGTTAGAACACCTGATACTTGCTTTTTAAACATTTTCGAGAATCAATAGAGATCTCTTATTTAAGAAGTCTTTTAAACCATACAGATTTTCAGATAGAAATTGAAAGGAAAATGCCTGTTGTTTGTCTTCGCTGGGCCTCAGGCAATAGGATGTAAATATGGGTAGTGAATACTGTGTGAGATCAAACTGGCATTTTTTCTGAAGGTGAGAATCCAAGACAATATATACAATTAAAGCCAACAGCCTTGCCTACCAAAAGGAGTCCATGCCTTCTGGCATTCTCCACTGAATACCTCCTCTGTTTCTCTCCCTTGTATATGCATCTCACAGTTTCTCAAAAAAAAAAAAAAAAAAAAAAAAAAAAAAGCGTAGTAGAACCAGCCAGCGCCAGTTTGTTTTCCATGTTTTCTTTTCTTTGTAAGGGATTAGTTGTAGTAACAGATTTCATGTGCCAGAAAGTGGGTGAACATTAACTATTTTGTCATGCACTGATCCTTCCCACAGCCCTGCAAAATTTGAAATGCAGGAATGGTTATTCATTAACATTTCTTTGTGTCTACAGGAAGTACATTTACTATGTAAACATGTTTTATATAGAACATACAGCTGTTTTGAACAAGCACTCAATGAAACATAAGAGTACAGTGCCTACACTGCCACTTCAGAAACTCTGAGATATCACAGCATTGTGTTTTGGAAGAGTGAACACACAAAGACTTGGTGGAAGTTTCCTTTAAAAACCAAAATTCTTTGATTTGCTTGATTGTTTTGTATCTAAAATGTATCTACACACTGAACTATTAATGTGCAATTTTTAGAAGGGGGGAGGGGGGAATGTGTTTCTTTGTGCTGATTTTAGTAGAGATTCCATTAAAGGCAGAATAGTCAAGCACCATCAGATAGTCCATTTTTCATAGACTGTGGAGTATATTGCCACCAGAAAAACCAAACTTAGAGCATGCAGAAAATTTGCCTAGAACATCTAGAAGAATCACAGGCTGCCTGTTCTGAGAATGTCAGTCTCAAATCTGTGAGGAACTTTACTAGTAAAAAGAAAAGAAAGCTACCTTCTTGGGTAATAGATGGAATTGTGCCCCATATACCTCTCTGCAAGCAACTCCACTGGCTGAACTTCACTTTAAGAGCATTTTATGGAACTGGGATGTTTTCTGAAATGCTGAGGAATGATTCTGTTTCCCAGAAACAGCAGTCAGAGTGTTTTGGTTGTGCTGTTGCCTCCAGGTTACTGAAGCAGTTTTGCCCCTTTGGTAAACGATGATGCATTTACCAAGGTACTTCTCAAACTGCCCATTGTAAATGTGGGCTGTACACATTGGCCCTCCCACGCCAAGGTTGCCATTCCTAAAGGACTCTAGGGCCAAGAAGCACAGGTTTGCTGAGGAGAGGGGCTGTGTACAGCAGGCCAAGCCTTGGACAGCTCTCCCCTGCACAGAGGGCAGTGTTAAGGTGCCAAGGTAGCCAGTATTCGGACTATGGGCT